GAGAAAAGATGAAGTCTGATTTAATTTACTTGTTACTTTTCTTTAAAAAAGAAACAGGAAAGAAATACAAAACGGTTTAAACAGCCCCTAATGGCCATGAGCAAAAAATGTAATGGGAACTGTCAAAGGAACCGTACCAAAACTAAGATTAAAATGTCATTTCTAGGTGTCATTTGCTACCTTAAAAAAATGGAAGTGTGGCACAGGGTTGATGAGGCTGACTAGGAAAGTCAGGGATAGCATAAAAGCAAAAGAGAAAGCATATAATGTGGCGAAGGGCAGTGGGAAACTAGAGGATTGAGAGGCTGACAAAGGCCAACAGAGGGCAACAAAAAAAAAAGAAATAAGGAGGGAGAAGATTAAATATGAGGGTGAGCTAGCCAGTAATATAAAGGAGGACTCTAAGAGTTTCTTTAGATATATAAATGGCAAAAGTGGACATTGGGCAGCTAGAAAATGACGCTGCAGAGATGGTAGTGGGGAGCAAGGAAATGGCTGAGGAACTGAATGATTACTTTGCGTCAATCTTCACAGTGGAAGACACGAGTAATATCCCAACAATTTGAGTCGGGGGCAGAGCTGAGTATGGTGGCCATCACCGAGGAGAAGATGCTAGAAAAACTGAATGGCCTGAAGGTGGATAAATCACCAGGACAAGATGGACTACAGCCCTGAGTTCTCAAGCGATAGCCGAAGAGATAGTGGAGGCATTAGTGGTGATCTTTCAGGAATTGCTAGAGTCAGGGAGGGTCCCAGCGGACTAGAAAATCACTAAAGTGACACCCCTGTCTAAAAAGGGAGTAAGGCAAAAGACTGAAAATTACAGGCCGATTAGCCTAACCTCGGCCATGGGTAAGATTTTAGAGTCCATTGTGAAGGATGAGACTTCTGAATACTTGGAAGTGCATAGTAAAATAGGACAAAGTCAGCATGGCTTCATCAAGGGAGGTCATGTCTGACAAATCTGTTAGAATTATTTGAGGAAGTAACAAGCAGATTAGACCAAGGAGAGCCAATGGATGTTATTTACCTGGACTTCAAGAAGGCCTTTAACAAGGTGCCGCACAGGAGGCTGCTGAGTAAGATAAGGGCTTATGGTGTTAGAGGCAAGGTGATAGCATGGATAGAAAATTGGCTTTCTGGCAGAAAGCAGAGAGTGGAGTTAAAAGGGTCTTTCTTAGGATGGCAGCTGGTGACAAGCGGTGTTCCACAAGGATCAGTGTTGGGACCACAACTTTTCACTTTATACATTAATAATCTAGATGAAGGAACTGAGAGTATGCTGGCTAAGTTTGTAGACGATACAAAGGTAGGTAGAGGGACAGGTAGTCCCTGTAGAAGGATTCGGACAGGTTTGGACATTGGGCAAAGAAGTGGTAGATGGAGTACAACATGGGAAAGTGTGAGGTCGTGCACTTTGGTAAGAAGAATAGAAAGATGGACTATTTTCTAAATAGGGAGAAAACTTAGAAGTGAGAAGTGCAAAGAGACTTGGGAATGCTAGTCCAGGATTCTCTCAAGGTAAACTTGCAGGTTGAGTCAGTAGTTAGGAAGGCAAATGCAACTTTGGCATGTATTTTGAGAGGAATTGAATATAAGAGCAGGGATGTACTTCTGAGGCTCAATAAGGCTCTGGTCAGGCCAGATTTGGAGTATATTGTGAGCAGTTTTGGACCCCATATCTCAGGAAGAATGTACTGGCCCCTGGAACGGGTTCAGAAGAGCTTCATGAGAATGGCCCCAGGAATGAAAAGCTTAACATATGAGGAACGTTTGAGGACTCTGGGTCTATACTTGATGGAGTTTAGAAGGATGAGGGAGGATCTAATTGAAACTTACAGAATACTGAATGGTCTGGACAGAGTGGATGTTGGAAAGATCTTTACATTGGTAGGAGAGACTAGGACCCAAGGGCACAGTCTTAGAGTAAAGGGAAGACCTTTTAAAACAGAGATAAGGAGAAACTTCTTCAGCCAGAGGGTGGTGAATCGATGGAATTCACTGCCATAGAAGGCTGTGGAGGCCAAGTCATTGAGTAGATTTAAGACGGAGATAGGTTCTTGATTGCCAAGGTGATCAAGGGTTATGGGAAGAAAGTGGGAGAATGGGGTTGAGAAACTTATCAGCTGTGATTGAATGATGGAGCAGACTCAATGGGCTGAATGGCATAATTTCTGCTCCTAAGTCTTACGGTTGTCCTGATAAATGATGGAGTTGCTGACTAATTTGAACAATCAATCTTTATCAGTTAGTCCAGTGGTTCTGAAATGGGATTACCTCACTATTTTGGCTCAATGTTGACTTTTACACTGTAATTGCAAACATATTGTTGCTTGCGATATACTTAATTTATTGCTGAGGACCAGATCGGTTACATTTTTAAGCAATAACACTTTGCATTTCTTACATTAAATTTTATCTGCCACCTATCTCTCTAATTTCGAGTCATACTCAGTAATGTGAGCAATAGGAAAGAAACTCCGAATTTATTGTTGCTGTGTAGGCTCTCTGGCTGTTAGTTCATTTCTCAATCAACGACTCAGATGTTTCAGCTAGATAAACCTCTTCCTGAGGAAGAATCTCAAAATAACCCAAGATGGAATTTAGTTCATTTAGAGATGGTGGTTTTCCACCTTACAAGGAGTTATTAATTGTCTAATGCTTATCAGGAATGGATTTGTTCAGCTTCCACTCCTAGTAATTCTGAGTACCTCTCGTGCTAAGTCCTCAGAGAACCTGCTATTCCACCCGGAGAGATTAGAAAGTATATCTGAAGAATGCAATTTAATCCACCACTAATATTCAGCTGGTATTCAGTTGCTTGCTAATTATAATGGGCACTATTAACCTCCTTAATGGGTAAAACAAAGAACTGCGGATGCTGGAGATATGAAACAAAAACAAATTGCAGGTGAAACTTAGCAGGTCTGGCAACATCTGTGGGAAGAAAGCAGAGTTAACGTTTCGAGACCAATAACTTTTCATCAGAACTGATAGCAGCTAGGAATAGCTGGTATTTATGCAGAAGGTGAGTTTGGGAGTGGTGAGCAGATGGGTGGAAACGGAGCCCAGAGAGAAAGAGATGAAAGGGCTAGTGGAGGGTAAACTGTGCTGAAATGTGATAATGGGAATGGATGAAAATGGATTGGCTATGCTCAAAAGGCGATTTATCTGTATTTTATTCAATCTAGTCTACTGTATTTGCTGTTCAAAGTGTGGACTGTTCTACACTGGGGAGATGAAATGCAGACTAGGTGACCACTTTTCAGAACACTTTTCAGTTCTGTCTGTAAAAATGACCCCAGAGCTTCTAGTCACCTGGTCAATCCCCAGCATCCTCACAATGTCTTCAGCATAAATATCAGGATTTTCTAACCACTGTCAGTTCTCATGAAAAGTCACCAGGCTCAAAGCATTAACTTTGTTTTCTCCCACAGATGCTGCCAGATCTACTGAATTTTTCCAGTAATTTCTGTCCTCTGCGCATAATGAGGTGGCTCTGAATAGTACAAATCTGGAAGTGCCACATATTGCATTGAATATTATAGAGTTTGATATAGAAGAACTTTGCCAAACAGCATTGAATTCAGCTTGTTTTACAATGAGTGTGTACAACAGCAAATAATTACTGTAAGATCTGTTGTGGAGTTCATCGTCTCTTGTGGTACGTAGATACTAAGGTTTTGGAGTAGATCTGTAGCTCGGGTTGTGGGTGTTGAGGTTGTTTGGCTCGCCGAGCTGGTTTGTTGTTTTACAGACATTTTGTTACCATGCTTGGTAACATCCTCAGTGCAGCCTGCGATGAAGCGTCAGTGTGTTTTCCCACCTGGTTTTGAAACTTCGGGGTCCATTGAGATGGATTGCCTCACTTCCGGTTTTCCTTCGTAGTGGAATGTGTATGGGGTCGAGTTCAATGTGTTTATTAATAGCATGCTTCGTGGAATGCCATGTTTCCAGGAATTCTCGTGCTTGTCTCTGCCTAGCCTGTTCCAGGATCTTGGTGTTGCCCCAGTCGAAGTCGTGGTTCTCCTTGTCCATGTGGATTGAGATGAGTGAGTATTGGTCGTGTCTTTTTGTAGCCAGTTGACATTCGTGTACCCTTGTTGTTAGTTTCCTTTCCGTTTGTCTGGTGCAGTGTTTCTCGCAGTCTCTGCAGGGGATTTTGTAGATGACATTGGTCCTGTCCATGGCAGGGAGTGGATCGTTAGTTCGGGTGAGCAGTTGCCGTAGGGTTGAAGTGGGCTTGTGTGCCACTCTGATGCCCAGCGGTCGTAGGAGTCTTGTGGTGCATCAGAGTGGCACACCCTACGACAACTGCTCACCTGAACTAAAGATCTTTCCTTCCCCAGGAGACCGCAGATTCACAGTGATTTGACTGATACTTATCTGCCCTCTGAATTGGCCCAGCAAGACAAGTAGCCCACATGGACTCATGATCTGATTCCCATCACTTGAGATGCAATGAGTTTAAAGGTTTACTGCTATATGATTCCTTGGCCACTGATTTCTGTTGATGAAGGCAAAGATTGCCAAATTGTGTTAGCCCAGAAGTCAGGTAGATTTGTTTCTTGGAGCTTATTGTTTGTGATTGGTCTCATGAAATATGGGATTGTAACCAAAGGAATACAGCTTTTCTTGATAAAAGGCATGCGTCTTTGTGCTATGATCATATATGCATATGTCTCATACAGGTTTGGCATGTTATGCTAATTAGTTATGTAGACACAATTACAGTGGTCAGTTTGTAACAGCTATTGTGTACATGCGCTTGCCCTGCATTGCTGGTTCATGGGCATACTCAAAGTGTAATTTAGAGTCAACTTTGGGAGTGCATTTCTAAATATTAAAGGCACTGCATTTAATGCCCATTTTAAAATGCGCTGTGCTGTTGAGTTGAATAGTTATCTAGTATTCAGTCATCCTCAAAGGTGACTTTTCTGAATGCCCACATCTGAGTCAGTATAAAGAGTGGTTGTTTTCTTTTCTTCTCCCCACCCAAGATTCAGGGTTACTTTGCTGCCTGTGAGGAGGAGACACCAGCAATTCGCAACCATGACAAAGTGCTGCAGAGGCTGTGTGAACATCTGGACCATGCCCTGCTTTATGGGTAAGGAATAACCTAATTGCACCTAACATCCAATGAACTATCCTTTGAAATGTTGTCATTTGCTGTGTTAATTTTGTATTTTAAACTTCGAAATCTAATTTATCTCATTAAGGTCTGAGACGATTCTCAAGAGCAAGCCCTTGCATGCTATAAACTAGAATATGACTTGATATCTACTTTAAATATTAAACCTGAACCGATGTATGTACTGCAAAACTTGTACATGAAGTTTTGTCTACTGCCTAGGTAGTTGTCACATGTCACTTCCACTTATTCTTTTTGTACATACTTTCTAGTCCACCTGTTCAGAGTTACGACACATCTCTGGAGCAGGTGGGACTTGAACCCAGGCCTCCTTCTCAGAGGTAGGTACACCGATATTACACTGCAAGGGCCCAACCCAGGAGGGCTAGGCCCGAAACGTCAGCCTTTCTGCTCCTATGATGCTGCTTGGCCTGCTGTGTTCATCCAGCTCTGCACCTTGTTGTCAGGGAATATACTGACTTAGTGAAATTATGCTTCCCTTTTTGAATTGAATTCAATTCAAAAAGGGGAGTTGCTATTTTAACCACAGAAGTATAGCAATGGAAATTATTTTATTCAATTGCATGTTTTTTTCTTAAAAATTGAAGTGTTTATTTTCTGCATATTTACAACTTTTGGCTGTCTGTCATTTTAATATTTCAGTCCCCTACACTTCAACCCCTAATTCTGCCTTTTATTCAGGATTTTACTAATATGCAGCCATACAGTCCTTTTAGTTGTTGATAACTAAGCACCTTTACAACCAGCAATCTGTCACTTGATGCTGAAATCAACACATAGCTGTTGCAACTTTTATGTCAAAGTTGCATAAATGCGTGGAACAACAGAATGACTAACTGCAAACAGGAAACTGCCAATCTACCAAGCCTGTGTCCTTAGTCCAGTTCTTGACAGTGGTGAAACGTGGACAACGTATGCTACACCAGAGAAAAGGCTAACTGTTTCTACCCTTGCTGTCTTAGATGTATCCTTGATAGCTCTTGGCAAGACAAGGCCACCAACTCAGAGGTCCTGGAGCATGCTGATTCCATCACTATATCATCATTGCTAAGCCAACAGTATGTGCACTGGCTTACCACAATTAATAGGTGGATGACAACCCTATTCCCAAAATCCTTACTTATGATGAAGTAGCCACAGGGTCAGGATCTCCTAAGCATTCGTACCTTTGCTACCTGGACACTTATAAGCGAGACATGAAGATTGTGGGCATTGACACTGATAACTGGAAGGTAGTTGCTGTAATCTGTGAAGGCTGACAGTTGGAAAGACATTGGAGGAGGTGAGAAGAAACCGCAAACTCAGTTGGCCAAAATGTGGGTGCAGAGAAAATCGGCCAGAAAGTCATGCACCTTCTCAGCCCACTGTCTTCCTCTATGGGAAATGCAGCAGAAATTACCATGTCAGATATCTTCCTGAGGCACACCAAGTGATGCTCCTGTAGTTGAAGCCGTCACCTTATGAAATGGAAGGCTGCCATCACCTTTGCTAAAGGGGCAGTATGTAACCTTGAACTTTAACATCTGTTCTCATTGGAGGAGTTTCAAGCACCTCCGTACCTCATCCAAACTAAATCCCTGTGCAAGTCATATCCATCCTCTTTCTCCTGGGAGAGATTTTAAATGCAGAAACCATCTGAGTGAGTGCAACTTCAAAAAAAAAGCTATTTACTCCAAAAGGGCATTGTGAGATTGTAACCCAAGTTAACTTTGTATAAATTAAAGTAGGATTGAAATGAGAAGAAATGAAACTTCTGAAAACAATGATTTTAATTTAAAATTTCCAAGTTAATTTTGCAGAAATGCAATAGTAGCAAGCAATAGTATTGAATACCTAATTTTGAAAAGAAATGATGACACTAATCAGTCTTAAGAAATACAGTTTTTTTTAAGTCAGTTTGTGTTGGAGTACCAAAGCAATGTGTTAAGCTGCTTTTGAAATTTCAGTACTTGTCAATAATATCATTGACGTGCCCACCATTATAAATTGACCCTTTTTTGTACATTTTTTATTTGCAGTATTGATGTCAGATGTTCAGTTATTTCTGGTGCACAGTATGTTCTGGTTTGTGCACAGTACTGAGCACTGTCTGGATATTCTGATTGACGTATCACTTGTGTGTCTTTATTGTGTTGCATGTTATGATCTTAAATTCCCTGTTTAGTTTGCAGGACATTTCCTGTGGGTACTGGGTGTTGGTTGTCCATTTTACGCGGAGTGAAGCGGTGAAGCAGATTGACTTGCTGCAGCATGTTGCTACAAACCTCGGTCGCAGTAAGTTTCAAACTACAGATAATCAACATCATGAATTTACATTTGTACCAGTTGGTTTAAGAATAAATTTAAATTGCTTACTTTTTTTTTTTTTTTTTCCTTCCTCTCCAGCTCTGTTTCAACATCCACCACCCACTTTACGTGTCAGACTTTTTCACCATCAGACCCATCACTGCCAAGTCTGATACTGTTGCCAAGCAGGGCTAACGTAGTACCTTTTATAATACAGGTCCTGGGGTAGTGTTCAGAAGCAGGAAGCATTCCGTTTTACACCCTGTTGCAGTGGCCCTGGTACTGTCTTGGCTGATTCCTTCTTGACTTATTTCACTCCTCCCTTCTTCCAACCTCTTAGGTCGGGCCTGGCTGTACCTTGCATTAAACGAGAATTCTCTGGAAAGCTACCTGAGGTTATTCTGGGAAAATCAAAACCTCCTTCATAAGTACTACTTCAAGTAAGTCCAACCTCATCTGAGCAATTAGAATTATCAAAAGTAGCAACATGCCAATTTAGAATTAATGATTGCTGTGCCACTAGCCTGTGGAATTACACTGGTAGGAAAGCAGCACATTCCATTGAACGTACCATACGTGTGAGTGTATAAATCGACCTTTGCTCCAACTTCCCCCAAATATAAGTGTTGACTTATTTGCTGAGTATAAAAGTGAACCTGGGTGTTCACCATCTTTATCATTTAGGTACGTCATCTGCTTTTTGTGGGCATGACTTTAACTTTGTAACACAACCTGTATTATTTGCTTGACCCCTTACATTATAACATAGTAGGTAAAACATCCATTTGTAGGATGAAATATTGGGGCTGGCTGCTAATCAAAATATAGCCTGTCAAGGTTGCAAACACGACAACTTCTGTGCTGAATATATACAAAAGCATGATTTTTTGGGGCTAATAAAATGATATCTTGTATGTTAGGCTGACTTTCATACATTGCGATCTACAGTAATCATTTGCAAGAAGGCTAAAAACAGTGCTGCAGTGAAAAGCACTTATCGGGTATAAGGATGTGGGAGAATGACTGGAAATGTTATCTGGTGGTAGATCATTATGCAGGACCCTTTTTATTCTTTCTATAGATGTATAGTGAAGCTTTGATATCAATGCAAGGGATATGATCTGCTGTCTAGTTACCTACAGCCAGCAATTTTAAATTTAAGAAATGTCAAGACTTACATGAATAATGACATCAGTACCCAATGTGTAACACAAGGATGGACTGTCAGCAAAAATGATTGATAAATGCAAGACCCAGACTGCAGGCTGGTGGTCATATAAAGTGATAGTGTGCATAATGACAAGGCTTGTATTCATCTATGGTGCAAGCCAGAGAGTTTATGGAACAATAAATTTGCTGTAATCTGACAACAGGAGCAGTAAGAATATTGTTAGTGGAACCACTAAATAATTTGAGGGGAAAGGGACAAGTAAATATGAAGATGTGCTCCCCAGTATCATAAGCCATTAGTTCCTCATCTCCACTCTCCACAGTCATTTTTAAGTCTGGCAAGATTATATAACTTAGCTTTCATAGAATGATGCTCACATCTGGAGAAATTATTCTGATGAGAATGAGAATTCCATACATTTTTGCAGTTGGCTTAATATCTTAAACAGTTTACAACATAAAACCAAACGAAAATAACAAGCCAAGATGGCCTCGTACATGTATACTGTCTCTCTTTAAAATGTATTGATTCTACATTGCCATGTCCTGTGAGTTTTGTGATCATTTTTATACAAAGTGTAATGATAAAAGAAATTAGATTTTAGAAATGTATGCAGTTAAATCGGCAATGTCCACAGTAAAAGTTCTCAGTCTCCTTTATCACTGGCACTGTCCATTATATCTAAAATAATACCCAAAGTAAGACACTGTATTTGTAACATAACAAAATGAAACACTTTTACAAACAGAGGCATGATCTTACATGTGATATCTTACTGTTGTGTTTCTCTTGAACCCTAAGGAATGCCCTAGTTTGCAGTCATGATCACCTGACTCTCTTCCTCACACTAGTGTCCGGCCTGGAGTTTATTCGATTTGAGCTGGAGTTGGTAAGGAATGTGCTGCCTTTAAATGATGTAGCGTAAATGTTTAAAATACGCAAAGGAATAGCACAAGACAGCAGTGAGCCTTAGTGACTAGAAGTATTTTTCTCAACATAAATATTGCAGGGCTGTAGAGAGGGTAGTTAGTTATTTGTTTAATGGATAGCTCTTTCAAGGAGGTAGTAAAGGCACATCGGGCTGAATTGACCCCTTCTGTGCTCTGATTGTATGAGTCAAAATGTGGAATAGTCATCATCTGTATGTCAATATCTGTTTGCATTAAGACCTTGTAAGTGGCACTGGCTCCCAATGTGGGAGGTCCATATGGCTGGCTGCAAACAGAAGTCACCTTGCCAAGATTTTTTTTTTCTTGGCAGTTAAATTGCTAGCAAGTTTCTTCTTGGTCTGTGGCAGCCTCCAAGATTCAAAATCAATAACCAACATCAATTGCATGTATCTTACGCAATGTGAAAATAATTCTATTGTCAAACCAGGAGAACATTAGGCGTAAAGAATGAGTAAACCTATAAGATACATGAGTTATATTTATTTTGGAATCTTTGATTTGCTTTTTGACAGTGATAAAGGGATAAAGTTCACAATACCTTCCCTCCCTTGAGATTAACAATATTAATAATAAAGCAAACTGTACACTCTTGTGAAAGGTCCAGATCTAATGGAAGTGAAAGGCATTTCAGTCCATATTCTGAACTGCCTCTAATACTGTGTTACACTAAATTTGAAATGTTAAGTGTTTCTGAAATTTTTTTGGAAAATCTAGACAGCCTTTTTCTCTTTTCTCTTGAAGACAGTCTGAGGTACATACCTGATAAACGTGCAGGTTTTACTAATAAAGAAATTTGTTTTCTTTTTGGCTCTTCACTATAAAACTTCACTGTTAAGGAGGTTTTTTTTGGCTTCTGGTCATTCTGTTCACTTGTACTTTTGTTTGTTTCTTTAAATCTAGGACGTTCCCTACCTGGACCTGGCTCCATATATGCCAGAATATTATAAGCCGCAGCACTTGCTAGACTTTGAAGAGCGCCTGCCCAACTCTGTGCATGGTTCTGACAGCCTGTCACTCAATTCGTTCAACTCTGTCACCTCCACTAATCTAGAATGGGACGATAGCGCCATCGCACCCTCCAGTGAGGGTGAGTTCTGATCTTTTGCTGCATCCAAAGAATCCAGTCATCTCTTTCTAAACTCCTTCATGTTAAGTGTTTTCATGGCTTTGAGCTTGAAATGCTTGTAGTGATTGATTTGGGAGTTCTGGCTGGTATGAATCATAGAAACATACAATACAGAAGAGGCCCCATTGGTCTTTGGAGTCTATACCACAAAAATACACTACTGCCCACACTCGGCCCTTAACCTGGAATATTATGACACTTCAGTCCAAGTGCTTTTTAAAGATTGTGAGGTTATCGGACTCAGCTACCCTCCTAGCATTGCATTCCAGATGCCCAACCTTTGTGGTGCACTGAGAGTGAAATACTCCATCAGTAGATTAATGTACTAGCATAATCCCATCCTAATCACAATTCAATGACCATTCAAAGAAATGGATGTTGGGCAAATGAACTGCTCTTTGTTGTAGAATAAATAGTGCAATAATAGTCAAAATGAAGATAAATAGAGGGTTTTTAAATTTTTATTTAGCATTGCCTTTCAGAGAAATGGGTGGGGGCATTAGGTAGAGTCTTGGAAATTAACATCCTAACTCTTTTAACAGCAGAACTTCCCCCTTCCCACTGTCTCAAAAGTGCAGAACGAGAAAATGACTTATTGGAAGAGCTCATATGTTAATTTTTCCATCCCCAACCTAAGGAATGAAGAAAGCATGCATGTACAATATGAATAACTCTGAGCAAGTAGATGAAAAATGATTGAGTCGTTTAAAAATATCTGTCACAAAAAAGACAACTTAATCATGTTAATCAGTGCCAGTTGTAATTAAATTGATCATTGCTGAGCTACACTAAGGGCAGAGAAAATTAAGGCATCCTCAGGTATGATGTTTAAGTTTGTATCATGCAAATGGTTCAGTTAATAATGTGAACATATCCTGTGGGATCTATATGGTAAAGCACAAGTACAGGTGGCAGAGATGTGCTTTTGTAATTGAAATGCTTCCAAATGCATTGTCCATCACAAACGTCCATTGCAAGACAATGTATAGTTGCATTGCAATAATGCAGCAAACATCCACATCCTGGAGTCTTCCGCTGACTTTTGCAAGTCACTTTGAAAGAAACTTGGGTAAAGTATGGCTTGTTAGGTGTTTGAAGCTTGTTTGAACTGCGGCCATGATTTCATTGTGAGTAGTGGGTCATGGATCTAAGGGTTAGCCTACAGGATTCGTGATTTTAAAATGGCGGAGCTGAATGGCCTACTTCTGCTCATTATGTTCCTAACTATTTCCATCCTTTGTAGAGTTTTGGACTAAGAGGCATATTTTAAAAAAGTTGGAGCCAGCCCTTTTAAGAATGAAATTTAGGCATCATTTCTTCACGCAAAAGGTGGTAGAAGTTTGGAACCCTCTTGCAGAATGGCAGTTGATACTAGATAAATCAGTTTGAAAACTGAGATTGATAGGTTTTTGTTTGCTAAAGATATTAAGGGAAATGGGACAAACTTGGCTATGTGGAATTAATTTGTAGTTCAGCCATGATCTTATTGAATGGCCAAACGAGCATGGGGATCTGATTTTCTCAGTCATTTTCCTATCAGAGATGAACATTTACCTTGTCTCAGCATTATGTAGCAGGCCTGAGAAGCATGCATTGCAACGATTTTGCCTACTGACCCTGTACTGTACAGAATAACTGCCAACTAATAACTATTAAATACAGATGTAACTAAATACTTTACAGGAATTGGTTACATGGTATACCACCTTCAGCATCATGGAGACCAAGTCTGCATATACTATGAAAAAGGACCACTGTACTGCCTAATCACAAATAACTACTGTAACCAACAGATAGTACAAGCCTATATAGACACTCAGTTATGGAATGCTTGTTTTAAGGAGACTGCAGGCAAAGCACCATTTTATTTTCCTTCTGGAGTTAGCACATTCTAAGCTACAAAAATTGGTGGCTTGCAAAGCAAACTCTTCTGTTTCAAGTTTCTGTTCTGAGGAAGGGTCACCGGACCCAAAACGTTAACTCTGTTTTCTCCTTCACAGATGCTGCCAGACCTGCTGAGCTTTTCCAGCAATTTTGTTTTTGTTCTTGATTTATAGTATCTGCAGTTCTTTTGGTGTTTTGTTTTCTTCCGTTTCAAAGTCTGTGCAAATGATTGCTGGAGCAGAACTTCAGAATTGTCAGTGCTTCAGCCAAGTCAAATACATTAATCTATAACAAAGTTGCTGGAAAAGCTCAGCAGGTCTGACAGCATCTGTGAAGAAAAAAATCAGTTAACATTTTGGGTCCGGTGATCGATCCTCAGAATACCGTTGCTTTTCTAGCAACTTTGTTTTTGTTCCTCATTTACAGCATCTGCAGTTCTTTCAGTTTTTACATTAAAGTATACCATAAGCAAACTGACACATCACTCGAGACTATGGAACTTTCCAACAGTTTTATCACCTAAACTTTTACCCTTGAATGCAGAATTAGGATTATTTGACAATTTTCTGAAGGTTTCAACAGCTGGATCCTTAAGGGGCATCAGATTTATTTTAGCATTTGATGCATAATACCATTATCCAGAACTCAAACTTCCATTGTTAACTACTGCATTTACTTTTAGCAGCAGATATGCCATCAGTGCAGCAATAGTATGAGCAACTAAAATACCCTCACCTATGCCATACTGATTTGGAAAGCAGTTTCGTTCCCACTGGCTATACAGTATTTCTTAATAAATATGAAAGGAAGCACCCTGTACTTTAAGGCACTTTTTTGTTCTTGAGGGCTACTCTTTGGTTTTTTTCATTCTTACTAACTTTTTTTATTAGGCAATGTGGTCACATAATAACACACCTTCTGACTTAGTGCTCTAAGCTTGTTTGAACTGCAGACATGATTTCATTCAAACCCTATCACAGAAGCAGAATTAGAAGAATTCATCAACTCCATTAAACTTAATGTCACAACATACAAGGGAAGCATTAATTTCCTAGATGCCACAGTATTTAAATTGGCACAAGGCAGCAGGCATACATTAGCAAAAGTCTTTTTTCAGCGTAACTGACGCACATTTCTGCACAACAAATATGATCCTAAACTTGCTTTCGGCAGATTGGCAAGGTCACCTCTAATGCATTTCAATCAGATTTTCAAAAAGCTGGAATATTTTAACTACATCTCTTATTTGAGTATAACCATTGGCACAGTGTTTATTACAATAGCATCCATCATAATCTTTCAGTTGTGTAGCTCCTGAACATATGCAGCTTTAAGCCCGAGATAACTACATTTGTTTGGAAATGATTCATTACCTCTGTGATTTCAGCTTTTCCTAGTTATGAGTGTTTGATAGTTGTTAGGGTTGAAGCTCTCCTCTCTGGCTTCCCTTTCTCTCCCACCCCACCTTCTGACCTGTTCCTCTTTCACCCCCAGCAGCACCTCGTGGCGTCTCTGTCCTATGCCCCACCCTGCATGTAACAATCTTATTTCCCCTCCCATTTTTATCTGGTTAGTTGCTGAATGAGGGAACATTTCTGGGCAATTTGGGGATTTGTCATCTGCTCCAATTTTGTTTGCTATTCATAATCATGTGTTGCTATACGTAATCATCCTGCATTAAAAATAGGAGCTGCAGCTGATATTATTGTGCTACCAAGAAACATCTCAGCAGCATTAGTCATGCGCACAATTTTTTAATGTTAAATCTTGGATGTTTCTAATTTGCTCACATTGCAGGAAAAGTGATTTTTATAAGTTACAATGCAATAAATCATCAAACTTGCCATTTCAATTGAAAAACAAACCACCGTCAGAAGATGGTGCTGGTTATGGGGAAGTGAATACTCTGAGGAGTAAAAGGGAACATGGCACAAATTAAGAATCTTACATTGTCCTCCCCAACCTGACAATTTTAAAACTTGGATTAAAAAAAATCAGTCATACAGCATGGAAACAGACCTTTTGGTCCAACTCATCTGCACCGACCAGACATCCCAATCTGACCTAGTCCCATTTGCCAGCATTTGGCCCATATCATTCTAAACCGTTCCTATTCATAGACCCATCCAGATGCCTTTAAAATGTTGTAATTGTACCGCCTTCACCACTTCCTCTGATAGCTCTTTCCAACCTCTGTGTGAAAAGGTTACACCTCAGGTCTTTTTAAAATTTTTTCCCCTCACTTTATACCTATCCCTCTAGTTTTGGATTCCCCCACCCTATGAAAAAGAGCTTGGCTATTTACTGTATCCTTGTCCCTCATGATCTTATAAACCTTTATAAGGTCACGCGCTGCTAGAACTTATTTGATAGAATGAGGAGGGAAGGTGAGCCCACACACGAGATGGCACCATGCCCACAACTATATTTTAGCCTGGATTGTACTTTGTCTTACAACTGAACTTATTGACTTCTGTTGACTTGTGCCAGCTACCTGGTCATTCATTCTTAACTGGTGCAGTGTAAACATTTCTACCAAGCATTCGATATTTTTGTCAGGAAGTTATAAGATAACATAACCCAGTGGCGGTAACTACGTAGTGTGAACATTCTTACATTTGTTCCTGCAGTGCATTGGAGGGACAGCAATCTGATACGACCACATATAGGTATGTCTTGTTTTTCAATTGGCAGACTAATAATAATAATAACAAATAATTGAGACTTTTTTTTGCACAAATTCTGTGGATAATTTATGAAATAAGACCTGCTGAGTTTACTGCATTCAAGAAAATGATTTGAAGTGGGAAAGGACCATTTTTGTTAAAATGTTGACATTCAGACAATATAAAGATTTAATGTTATTGAATTCCAATCAAAGCAAAGTCTGCCTACACAATTCACATGAGTACAATTGGAAAACATGGTGAAGGACTGAAGGATGTCCAACTGATACAGATCTATAAAGCATTGAATATGCAATTTCAGAATAGGGATCTTAATCAGACAGTGAATTCATTTAGATGAATTGTTTATCTACTTTGCAATTTGGAATATTCCTGGACATCATTTGGAGAGGCTGAGGAGGCAATGAACTGTAATTTTATTATGCTGTGTATTCAACATTTTTATTGTCTATACAGCGGATCAGATGCTGCACCTAAAGATAATACCTATCCATTAATCTACTTAATCTTTAATTTATTCTTGTGATATGGGCATTGCTAGCAAAACTCACTTGAATCGTATATTCCCCAGAGAAGCTGCTGCAGCCTGATCATTGTGGGGCGCGCTCACCGTGTTGTTGGGGACTCCCAAAATTGGCTCAGCAGACTGTAATCTACTTTGCTTTTAGGCCAGAGAGTAGTGAGTAAATTATCATGCTGAGGTTTGTAACCAGCTGCACCACACCCAATGAAATCAATTGCCACCAACGCTCACTGATTTGGTGCACTACTTTACAGGCATCAGTGCCAAGTGTGCTGGATCTATGTTGGTTAGTTGCAGCTCTCCAATTTCAAATACTATGTGTTTTACATCACAGAATATATTTGGAATGTTGTATGTTGAGCCCTCTGAATGCAAACTGTGATGTTTCACCATTGCTATCTGTTGGTTTGCGACTATTGTCTGTAATGAAAATGTGGAAAAATTGGTGTCTGGCACGATTCCTTTGAACTGAGTGCAATCTAATTGAGTAATAACCCACAGCAGGTGAAGAGGGTGGAGGCTCAGTGTATTTAAAAGTATTCAATGCTGTTAAGCTGTGTTTTTCTCTCAGCATTTTTTTCTTTCTGGTGAGTCTTTTGTTCATCAAACAGAGGGACACCACATTAAAACAGAGCATTTTACTAATTTCATTGGGTGTGTGTCAGGTTAGAGACATTAAGTTTTTCTTCCCATCCACCAGTCATTCTGTTGTTGACTTTGTACGATTGCTATTTGGGGACATTGTTTTTATATTGCTGCGTCATTTTCAAACTCATTGCATATGGACGACTCATTTCCAACAGTGGCTGTTTATTTCAGCTATCTGCTCTGTTTCAAATCCAAAGGTCCCAAAGTACAAAACATCATCCATTTCCTATGGAGGTAGCTGTCACATCTCATAGTATATCCAGCACTTGTACAAGGATGGTAGAAAGGCATTTCAAATGTGGAATTGGCTGAAGGTTTTCTGGAATAACCATCAATAATTTTAACATCCATGTACAATGGAAGTTCACCTCATGCTATTTGAATATTGTATCATGATTTTCATTTGTTACAGATTTTGTTTCTTTTTTGTTTCTGTCTGTTCTTTCCATTATAGATTATGATTTTGGAGATGTCTTTCCAGCAGCACAGTCCATACCCAGCACAGACTGGGAAGGTGGGACTCTTTTAGGCTTGTGTATCACACACTGTTGCTGCTTGCTGCATGCTCTGCCCCTAACACTGATTCCCACATTGCATGCCTGCTGGGGCTGCTTAAGTTGTTTATTTGTGTATTTGGTGGGAATATGTCTATCAGACAGAGAAAAATAGGTAATGGCTGGAAATCATGAATTGAAATCAGTAATGTGATTATGAATCATAATTCTGTGGTGGTGGGATTCATATTATAATCACATTGGGAATGGGGCTGTTTCATAGAAATCTGAATTGCACTACATTCTTCATTGGTAAATGCAACCTTACTAGTTCTTGCATTTTAAGAACTCTTTTATATTCTAAAGCACAGCTCAGGAGCACTGTCACTAGCACCTCGGATGGCTAGAACCTGGTAGTCATTGGGGAAGGCAATGTCAGATTTCTCCTGTACAGAGTCGCCTTTTGCATCGGCGTAGGTTTCCATTAACAAACATATCTTGCCTGTAAGGAGCATTTATTAATTACTAATATTACTAAAGTCCAACACATTGTGAATAGTTTATCGTTTACTGCTGCTGTAATCATTGGATCACTGAGTAGTGTTGAGGGATTTTAATTTTGCTTTGAATTGACTGCAGTCTCATTTTACTTGTGTTTTTACTGTAGAACTGCTGATTAGAAGTTTAGAAATCTGGAAATTGCTTAATGTAATGCAGTTCCTCTGTGTTGAAATAAGTCCCAACTTTCCAGTGGAGAGTATCAGAATGGACACACTTCCTTTTTTAAATGCTTTTCCGATTTGACTTTGTTTTATGTCCTGGCACAGCAACCAACCTGAGCTAATCAATGACTTTCTGTAACGCCAAGTGTGTACAGCCACAGTCTGCTGTGTTTTTGTTTTTATTTAATTAAGTTTAATCCACCTTTTATTTCATTGTGACCTAATCAAGTTACAAGTGTAACTGGATCTTTACAATGCTATATAAGGGGCTTCTGTCAAGGCATAATTTATGTTGCTATTTGGTGGGTTCAGATTCTTTGCAGATGGAATCATCCAGAAATATGGCTTATGATTTTTCAAAGACCAACGTGGAGGACATTTAGAAAGGACATTTAGACATTTTAAAAAGGTGCCCTTTACCAAGAATATTATAAACTTGAAGTTACACACTGCCAAAATGATACAGTTCTACTAAACTATCATTCACTCTGGTTCAGTTCTGCTTCATGTCTGTCTTTCAAGAACTCTCAGCTTAGGGTGGTTGATTCCAGGTAGGAGAATTGATTATAAACTAATCCTTGGTCTTTATTGGTACAAGTGTTGAGAGTCTTCCTCCACCTTTATTTCTTCAACTACTTCACATCCCCCCCTACCCCTATCCTTTTAATTGACTTCAGAGGATTGGCAGCTATTTTATGTTCTGGAATTGTCCTTGATGAGTACATTCAGCAGTAAGCAGGAGATGATTTACATCATGGCTATGCCTGCAAAATCCAGAACAATGCTAGGAGGTTCTGTAATTTGTTCTTGCCCTCATTCTGGGACGGTAGCATAAACACTGGCATTGCTCTTTCGGCTGACAGCCCTGCGTGACCTCAACAAGATGGCAGTCCTGGCAATGGCCTAATGATTGACCACTGCTGGCTTAGTGGTGCCTCAGTGTCTCCTGTAACTGGAGTAGTCAACTCTTACCTTTTAATCCCTATTTCAGCTCCTGAAAAAAATTCACCCTCCAGAATCTGGCTAAGATAAGTTTGTGAGTGTGGTCTTCAAAACATTTGGTTCCTATTCCACCTTACTTTCTTGGCTATTTGCTTGCTGTTCTTCATTCAAACTGTTCTGACATCTAAATGGGACTTTGTATCGGATCTGTATTGTTTTGTATGTAATGGTTCCTTCATTACACCAGAAACATAACTGAACCCTGTACAAGAGTGGCTTACTTGAATGAGAGCCAGTTATGGAAACAGACCCTTCAGTTCAACTAGTCCTACTTGCCTGCATTTGAACCATATCCCTTCATATCTTTCCTATTCATGTACTTATCCAAATGTATTTTAAATGTTGCCACTGTACCTGTTTCCACCGCTTCCTCTGGCAGCTCATTCCATGCACAAACCATCCTCTGTGTAAAGAAAAAAGTTGCCACTCTTGTCCTTTTTAAGTCTTTCTCCTCACACCGTAAAAATATGTCCCCTAGCTTTGAACTCTCCCACCCTAGGGAAAAGACCCTTCAGTTCAACTTATCAAAGCCCTTAATGATTTTATAAAACTCTGAGATCATCCCTCATTCTCCTATGCTCCAGTGGAAAAAGTCCCAGCCTATCTTTGTAACTCAGACCGTCCAGTACCCCTCTACTTCCACAGAAGAAATTAAAGCAGCCTCAGTATATTTCTGAGACAGCAATATCTTTCTATTCAGAATTCTGGATAATTAATCTCACCATGCAATGTGGTGTTGATAATAAGTGAGTGGATGTGCAATCCTAATTGTAGGTTTACAGATGCAGCCCTAGGTAATGGTGGGAGATGTACTCAATGGTACACTAACTTATCAGTCTTTCTTAAAATGCTGCATCAAATAACTCATTCTCCTTGTTGTTTTGTTAATTTAAGAAAATACATACTTGTGTTTAAATGAAAACAATTCCCAAAATAAACAATGGCTTTCACGTTTTTGTATCCTTTTTCTCTATAGAAGGTGAATTGACAGACACAGTCAGTAGTTGTCCCCGATCTGGAACTTCAGAGAGTCTGCCATCAAACAACAAAACTAGGAGTCCAACCCTGCGCTACAACCCCTTCAATAATGAGACCGAGGTGTCTACACTTACACCAAATGACAGCATGGTGCCATGTTCTGAGCTGGAAAGAGAGGAGAGCACACCAGATGTCCAAGAGAACAGTGCAGAGCTTGAAGTAATTAGGTCAGCCATTGTAAATAAGGCTTTACTGGGGAGTTGGGTTGTGGATTAACTTTTGCCTGGAAACATACTATCTGATTTTTGTTCCCAGCCTCCTAAAGAGATTGACATTAACTGCTTTCTATGCCTTTGAGTACCAGGCAGGGCTTTGCTATCTCTAAAAGTCCTAACCAATATTTAATTCTCAACTGATATCACATTTTATAAAAACGTATAATTCTAGTCACACTACTGTTTGTGAGAGTTTGTGAGGGAGTAGGTGATGGCCTAATGGTATTATTGCCCGACTATTGATCCAGAGACCTTGGTAATGTTCTGGAGACCTGGATTTGAATCCTGCCATGGCAGATGGTGTAATTTGAATTCAGTAGTACTCTGGAAATAAGAAGTAAATGATGATCATGAAATGATGATAAGGAAAATCCCATCTGATTCACTAATGTCCTTTAGGGAAGGAAATCTGCCATCATTCCTTGGTCTGGAATACATGTGAATCCAGACCCTCAGCAGTTAAGGTTGACCCTTAACTGCCTTCTGGGCAATTAGGGACGGGCCATAAATGCTGGTAGAGATGGTCACACACCAAAATGAATTTAAAAAATAACTTTTTTTTGTTTGCAAATTATCTACATTACAACAGTAACTATAAATTTAAAAAAAACTTAGTTAGCTAATCTGAAGTGGATTGGAATGCTTCAAGGTTGTGAAAGGTCGCTGTATCTGAGTCAGTGAACATAGAACATAGAACATTACAGCGCAGTACAGGCCCTTCGGCCCTCGATGTTGCGCCGACCTGTGAAACCAATCTGAAGCCCATCTAACCTAAACTATTCCATTATCATCCATATGTTTATCCAATGACCATTTAAATGCCCTTAAAGTCAGCGAGTCTACTATTTTTGCAGGCAGGGCATTCCACGCCCTTACTACTCTCTGAGTAAAGAACCTACCTCTGACATCTGTCCTATATCTATCACCCCTCAATTTAAAGCTATGTCCCCTCGTGCTAGCCATCACCATCCGAGGAAAAAGGCTCCCACTGAACGGTGCAATTCCTTCCTGAAACATTGAAGGAGTTGCTGTTTATAATTGTTCATCATTTCAATTCCATAGATTGGCAAAGAAGAGGAGAACACCCAAAAAGAAGAGAACAAGATCTGAGGAACAAATTCTAGATATTAAAAATACAGAGGTACAGCTGTCAACAAGAGAAGGTGCAAAGTCCAAACAGAGCAGTGATGCTGAACTAGAAGAAGATCAGAATGAAAAATTGGGCTTACAGAAATCCCAAGAGATTGATGCTGACGAAGAGGATAGCAACTCCCAGGGCAAGTTGTCTCTAGTGACACGTAGAGAGTCTGATGCCGATGCCCCTCAGCCAGGTCTGTTAATACCACAGATGAAGGACACATCTATGAACAGTGTAGGGAATCCCTTGAGCAAGGTGATGGAGCAGCTCAATGGGACGTTGGATGCCAATACCTGGATGTCAAATGGGGATCACCTACCTGAGCAGCCCTTTCGGACTTCTGTCCCGGGGGAAGCCCCGGAAGAACCTCCGTTTAGCCAATATAGTGAGCGGATGCCACCTACCCTGGATTTCTACAAGTTTACCGTTGAGAGTCCAAGTGCTAGTGGAACAGGTAGCTGCCACTATGACCCTACAGGGGAAAGCCAACCATCGCATGTTTTTAGTAGCCATGAAGCTGCTGGCACAGAAATGTGCAAAGGAGAGAAAGTCTCTCCTGTAGACGAGACAGACAGCCACAGAATTGAATATGCAGAAGCTGTTCCAGAAAAGTATAAACAGGCTGATGTTGAAACCAGCAAGGTATCTGAGACCAGCTTGGAGCAGTTGCAAATTCAAACCGTGACCTCTGAGAGAACAGAGGAGGAAGAGAAAGCTCAAAGTAGTCCCTCTGAATTAACCCATCCTGCTGACTTCAGGTAAAGTGGTGCGATCATTAAATATTCTAACCATGTTTAGTTTTAGTTGGGAGTAAATAACAAACAATATTAAGTTTAGTACTTGCCTCATGGAAGCCGTAACACTTGATAAAGCTCTTCCGGCTGGTGTTTGAGTCCTTCATCTCTGTAGTTACCATTGAAATGTGATTTCCAAATTCCAGTAGGTGGCTGTTCCATCATAAACAAGCTGTAAAGTCCTGAGTATAGCAAAATAAGTCACTCCAAATTTCAGGATTATAGTCACCCCGGCTGTTCTTAACATTCCTCAAGGTTTGATAGAATTCTTTGAGGAAGTGACAAAGTTGACAGATGAGGGAAGGGCAGTAGATGTCATATACATGGACTTCAGTAAGGTGCTTGACAAGGTTCCCCATGGTAGGCTGATGGAGAAAGTGAAGTCGCATGGGGTCCAGGGTGTACTAGCTAGATGGATAGAGAACTGGCTGGGCAACAGGAGACAGAGAATTGTAGTGGAAGGGAGTTTCTCAAAATGTAGAACTGTGACCAGTGGTGTTCCACAGGGATCCATGTTGGCACCACTGTTGTTTGTGATATACATAAATGATCTGGAGGAAGGTATAGATGGTCTGATTAGCAAGTTTGCAGATGACACGAAGATTGGAGGAGTAGCGGATAGTGAAGGGGACTGTCAGAGAATGCAGCAGAATATAGATAGATTGGAGAGTTGGGCGGAGAAATGGCAGATGGAGTTCAATCCAGGCAAATGCGAGGTGATGCATTTTGGAAGATCCAATTCAAGAGCGAACTATACGGTAAATGGAAAAGCCCTGGGGAAAATTGATGCACAGAGAGATCTGGGTGTTCAGGTCCATTCTACCCTGAAGGTGGCAACGCAGGTCAATAGAGTGGTCAAGAAGGCATACGGCATGCTTTCATTCATCGGACGGGGTATTGAGTACAAGAGTTGGCAGGTCATGTTATAGTTGTACATGACTTTGGTTCGACCACATTTGGAATACTGCGTACAGTTCTGGTCGCCACATTGCCAAAAGGATGTGGATGCTTTGGAGAGGGTGCAGGGGAGGTTCACCAGGATGTTGCCTGGTATGGAGGGCGCTAGCTATGAAGAGAGGTTGAGTAGATTAGGATTATTTACATTAGAAAGACGGAGGTTGAGGGGAGATCTGATTGAGGTCTGCAAAATCATGAGAGGTATAGACAGGGTGGATAGCAAGAAGCTTTTTCCCAGAGTGGGGGACTCAATTACTAGGGGTCACGATTTCAAGGTGAGAGGGGAAAAGTTTAAGGGAGATATGTGTGGAAAGTTCTTTACACAGAGGGTGGTGGGTGCCTGGAACGTGTTGCCAGCGAAGGTGGTAGAGGTGGGCATGATAGCATCATTTAAAATGTATCTAGACAGATACATGAATGGGCAGGGAGCAGAGGGATACAGATCCTTGGAAAATAGGTGACGGGTTTAGAGGGCCGAAGGGCCTGTTCCTGTGCTGTAATTTTCTTTGTTCTTTGTTTCACACACTGGCGCTGCTACGTTCATTTTGGGGATAAAAAACTATTCACCTCCCTCTTTTTGGTGTCTGTGTCGGTTTTCTCCGTTACCAATCTGGTCTACACAGCATTAAGATTCTAATCTGTGTTGTAGTTTCTCTGTGTATTAAGTATAACTCCTGGATTGGAGAACCTCTCAGGATATGGGATAGGCCATTTAACACAAATGAGGCAACATTTATTCACCCAGGGTGGCTAACCTGTGGAATTCAGTACTGCAGAAGGCTGTGGAGTTGGAGTCACCAAGTATATTTAGGAAACAGATTGATTGATTTTTTTTTTTAAATCATGAAGATATCATGGGGTTTTGTAAGAAGAACTTGGCATTGAGATAGAGGATTACCCATGATCATATTGGTGGAGTAAGCTCGAAGGGTTGAATGGCCTATTCCGCCTAGTTTCTGTATTTCTATGGTATGATAGAGTGAGATAATAAGACTGAGACACAGAAATGTACTGGAGCAATTGATGGTCTTTAAAGGAGAGATGGTTCAGGTATAGTCCAGTACCTTTCCACATGTAAGGAGCAGGAGAACAACCAAAGCTGGAGTTCTCTGCATTCCTAAACATTTACATGTGGGATAAAGCACAAATAAAAGTTTTAGCAGGTACTAATTTGATCAAATACTGGAGCATTAGGCTAAATATTAAAAATGGAGAAAGCAAATGAAACAAATTACACTACTTCAGTTAATGCCTTAATAGTAAAGTGGTTGTCAAGAGTGGTAGGATTGATAAAGGACCAAAGTGGGGATTTGCTGGTGGAGAGAAAGCATGGATAAAGTACTAAGTGGTCAGTGCTTTCTGTTAATATTTACTAAGTGTTACAATCCTGTTTGGGACCACAACATTTAAAGTAGTAATCCAAACACACATCAATTAACCCAACAGAGCTACATCATGGAATTTTATGTTTTGTAAACAAAAATTTTAATGTACATTAAAAAATAAAGCAAAGTAAACACTTAACTTCACAGTATAGCTTACAAAAACTTGTATTGTTCCTACTGTTAAGAAGTTGGGTAGAGTATTCATGAATTGGAAGGCAGGAAGTTAGAATTTGTTGGTAAAAATGATCGTGGGGTAAAGAGTGCCATGATCCCTTTAAGGGCTTGTGCTTTGTCTGTACTTGGAAGGTTATAAATGCTGGCGCACAGAGTGCCCGAATGGAAACCTTCTCTTGTATAGAACAGCCAAGCAGCATTTTTTCCAAGGGAACAAGTTTGAATTCGGCCAATTAATTTAAAAGAAGCACCTAGATACAGAAAGCTAACCGAATTTAAATCTGATGGTGTTGACAACATGAAACCAGTCATATAATGAGAATTTGATTTATGTCATTATATAAGGTGAGGGCATTTGGAAAATTGGAGAGAGCCATCCACCACCTGCCAGAGTTAGCACCATTCAGCTCTCGGAGAAAGCCTGTTTAATTAATCAACGGTGCCGTGGTATTTTAGTTCAAAGTCCTCATTGAAGAAATTATAGAGATAAAACATCCCTGACAGCAGAATTAACGGAAGAAAGGTGTTAGTGAAGAGACCAGAGACAACAGAATATTCCAGAAGACAGTCTGTGTGAACTTGGAGAGATCAAGTTATAATTTATTGCTTCTTATTAATTGGGTTTATTTTAGTGGGACTTGTCTTTATTTAAACAGCATTCCAGTAGAATTTAGACCAGTTAGGAGGTAGTTAGTAGTATAAGGGGGAATTGTTGGTTTGGTAGTAATTTTGTTAACTTGTTCATTGTTGTGTTAAATAAATAAATTGTTTCTTGTTACTTGTAAAGTGGAGATCAGGAATTTTCTTTTTTAACCACTCTTTTAATAGATTACGAGGGGAAAGGCAAGCTTCTCTGGATGTTTCAGGGATAATTATTAGAGGGGAACCCCTTCACTTATCATAATAGATTGGGGCTTGTGTTTTAGTTTAATTATCAGGAGGGGTTTGGCCATTTCCCGGTCATAACACTACTATGAAATTGAATATAACAGAAGGGAGATTATGCTTCACTTATACAAGGTACAGGTGAGATCACATCTGGAGTGCACCATATTGGTCATTTATTTAAAGAAGAACATGGAGGCAATTCAGAGAAGATTTACTGAACTAATTCCTGGAATGGATGAGTTGTCCTGTGGGGAAAAGTTGGACAAGCTAGAATGTCTTGGACTTTGGTCTTGGTCGAAGCTTAGCAAGATAAGAAGTGACTTTATTGGAACACAAAATCCTGAAATACCTTGATAGGATAGATGTGGAGTGGACGCTTCATCTTATCGGGGAATCTAAAACTAGGGATCACTGTTTAGAACACAGATCAAGTGAATTATTTTTGGAGTGTTGTGATTCTTTGGAATTCTGACCCTGAATTGGTGATGGAAGCAGAGTGCTTGAATATTTTTAAAACGGAGGTAGGTGGATTCTTGTTAAGCAGGTTATTGACGGTAGGTGGAGATGTGGCTGTGAGGTTTTGATCAGCTATGATCTTATTGAATTGCGGAGCAAGCTCCAGGAGTTGAATGCCTATTCCAGTCCATATTTGTGTTCCTGGTGCCAATCCCAAAGGTATGCTGCCCCCCTCTGAAATTTATTTTTCTTAGTACTCCAGCTGTTCCTCCCAAGGTAAGGTTCTATAGGAGTCCCTCTATTAGCTTTTCAGCTATGTGACCTGCCACCTTTTCTTTACTGGCCTCACTACTGTGGATGCCTCAGCTCTTTGGGTTCCTGGTAGATATACCTAATTGCCTTCCCCACAGTTTCCCAAGTTAACTCTGCTGTCTGTTTCTGTCAGATAGCTCTGTGAGTACCTGTGTAGATTTCTTCCTTAAGCTACAAACCACACAAATCCTCTGAAAATCCACACTGACAGCTACAACTGCATTCCATGCATTGAATGTGAACTTAGTAATTCCTCTGCTCGAAATGCACACCTAACTGATGATCAGCTCTTGTTGGCTCTGAGTCTGGTGAGATGCAGTGTTCACCATGACAAAGCTATTACTGGCTCTATCTGTTCCCATACCAAACCACCTGCTCTATCAGTAAGTATAACAATAAACTTAAATAAAGGAGACCACCCCCACCCCATTTCCTGTGGTGGCATGTACGCTTTCAAATGAATATATAATTTATGAACAGGAGTTGGCTGATCAGAACCTGATAACCTGTTCTGCCATATGATAAGGTCATGGCTGATCTGATTCTGGCCTCAATTCCATTTTCCTGCCTAACCCCATACCCATTCACTCCCATATAATTAGGAATCCATCAAGCTCTGCCTTAAAAATATTGAATGACCTTGTTTCCACCACACACTCTGGGGAAGAAAATTCCATAGACTTTCAACCTTCTGTGTGAGAGAGGGGTGTGTGGAGAATATTTTATCCCCTCCATCTTATGAGCTCTTATTCTATCATAGCATCACTTCAGCACTGAAGATTTCGTTGGATGAATCAGGATGGACATTACGGACTAAAACAATAGAGAGAGGAGCCTGTGAATGCTTGAATATTGTGTTCAGTTTTGGTGCCACACTCCAGAAAGATGTAAAGGCCTTTGGGATGGTTTCAGGAGAGAGTTACTAGATTCTAGAGATGGAGGATTAAGGTTATCTTGGTAGGCTGGAGTAGTTGAACTGTTTTTCCTTGGAGCAGAGATTAGGTAGAGTTGTTCAAAATCATAAAAGAACAGTTTCAGTGGCCGAAAAGCCAATAACCGAAGAGCTGGTTCTAAGGTAATTTGCAAAGGAGCCAGAGGCAGCATAGAAAAATTTATCTTTTATACTGCATGGTAGTGGTGGGTGCCAGTTCCTTGGTTCTGTGCTGTTCTATTCGTACTCCAGTTCTAAAGATTCATGATTGCATTTATCTTTCCTCTTTTTTCTTTACCTGCATTTCTAATTTGTGTCGGTTTCATAGACATTCCTGAAATATCAGTCAACAAATAATGAGTGACAGTAGCCCTTGATGATGCCGCCTATAGATTTTTTTTGTTCCGAAAATAGCACCACGTAGATATGAACTGAAAAGAGGAAGAAACAATTTGCACTTTTTTTTTTTTTTTACTCAGGCTCGTTATTCTGGTGGAGGGATCCTCAATGTATAATTTGTGATCTTCACACAAAATATTATAAAGATGTTTTTCCCCTCCATATTCTTTTAATCAGTCTGATTTGACAAACAGCTTGGTACATTGCTCCAGTGCTTTGCAACATCTGTTGCCATAGGTGGAGGCAGCAGTCTCGTGATTAATCTTCCCATCCCTTTCCCCTCAGGGTTGACAATAATCTGCTGCTTTTGCTGATGATTCACGTTTTCAAGGAGAATGAAGAGCAACTTTACAAGGTGAGAGCGCTCAGGGCAAGACTACATTAGAAAATCACTTTGAATTTTTTAAGTTAAATACAAGAAACCTGAACTCACTGGTCAGTCTCTAGTTTGTGCTGACCAAAGCTGGAATAGCATTTGGAATATTGCGCTTCATCTCAACACCAAGTTTCAGCGAGATCAGATCTTTCATCCACAGCTACAACTTCTGATTGCTATCCAGTGACCCCTACTGGAAAGTGCAAATCTGGGATAAACACCAGTTCAGGCTCACGTACCTTGCTGGCACTTGCACAATGTAAATAGCTCCTTGGATAAGACACTGGACAATTGCCAGCACCAAGGAGTAGGGGTAGATGGAAATAATCCAACTATATTGACTCCTCTGAAGAGATTGGGTGCCCTCAATGTGGGTAAAAGGATCTCTTTTCTAGCTCTGACTTTCCAAGAAAAGGATCTTTGATTCTATTGTCTCAAGACAAAATGGGAAATAAACCACCAGATCATAAATGGATGAAAGCTCAGGGTAAAATATATGAAAAAATATAAACAACTGACAGAGAAACTAAAACATGGAAATATAAACTGAGCAGTAAGAATCAGACAAGTGGAGAACTAACCTAAATTAATCAGCGAAAACATCAGTGGACAAATGTTGATTGTATAGAAAGCAAAAAGGGACCTCACTTCAGACCCCCACTGGAAAGTATGTATATGGGGTTGCTGTTTGCAGATATATAGTGCTTTTGTCTCTGAATGAAAGATTGCTGAAGTTGCTGAACAACTTGTAAACTCTATTGATCCAGATACCAGGCCAGAGCCTGGTTAACTGAAGTAAGACGTTTAGTTTCGTTTGCTCAATTTCACAAACTCGGCCTCTAAACTGAATTGTTAGCGATTTTATGGTTGTTGTTCTTTTTTGATGAAACAGTTTGCACTTCAATTTTTTTTCTCTCTTCTATCTCTGCTCCTACTATTTCTCTTCCCAGATGATACGAATGTGGACAGGTCATATGGAGGGGAATCTGCAGTTGCTGTACGTGCTGTTGACTGACTGTTACATCTACTTGTTGAGAAAAGGTAATTCTCTTGAGGTTGGTGCTGGAGTAGATGTCATACACTTGAGTGAAATGCATCACCTTGAAGATCACATCCCAGCCTTTTGCTGAAATGAACAACTGTTCCTGTTTAAGATGACCCCAATAAGTTGACTTTTCTTTCGATTTGAACATTTTGCAGAGCACATTCCACAATTCTGCTACTTTTCAGTTTAATGCCAAAAGTCAATAGCTTTGAAAGTAAATTTGTTAATAGCACAGCTAGCACAAGTAATGTATCTGTATGTGTTGAAATAGCAGCTGTTTCCCTTGTCCAAGTTTTTGCTATTTTAGCAATAGTTTCAAGGTTATGACAATATTGAGACCACTTACAAAAGATGCTTTTGTTTAAAAAAAAAAGACTGACACTCCTTCTGCTGTACTTAGCAAGGATCTACACTTTCAATTCAGGAGGATAGAAAAGGGGCTTTGCAAAAAACATTGCATTAGAGCACTAAGTCTTGTTGGCTGAGATGTCACATATAAATAAGAAGAGCTACGAGTCCTGCACTATTCAGATTATCTCTGAAATGAAGCTTAGTGTTGTATACAACATGGGAATTGGAGTTGTGCAACTGTGCAACAGAGAAGCTGTTTAAGTCACTGCAATGAAAACGGTGCTGTGAATTGGAATACTATGTCTGTGTCTAACTCAATCTATTGGTCTATACAGGAGCTGCAGACAAGCCCTATGCAATGGAAGAAGCTGTGTCTTACAATGAGCTTGATTACATTTCGGTGAGTTTGCTGGAGAATGCACAGGTATTGGGTGTCAGCTGAGGATGTATAGGACTTAGTTATGATAGCCTTATCCTTTTCGGTTTCTATGTCCCACCAACCCTCCACTCTAATATCCTACTGAGACTCTTTGACCTCTTTCAATGAACAAAGGCCACTTGTGTTGGACACTGGAGGGTTTCTGTCACCTGTAGAGTTGAAGATCAGCAAGACTGTGCCTTCCAGATAAAACCGGAGGAGGGAAATTGCTGTAAAATTCAGTCATTGTCTGTGCCATGCACAATCCTGTTTTGGATACAGTGACAATCCTGTCTTTTACCTGCAAATCTCTTTTGTGGAGCTGCAGCAGATAATTGTAAAACTGTTGGAGAGAAAGATTGCTCTCCAGTGGATGGTCAGGAGGCAGAGTGAATCTGCTCATCTTTTCAGAAAGAGACAAATACACAAGCGGAACATACCATATAAAACAACACAGTCCCAGAGATGATGTTGGTAATATCTGAATGTTCACAAAAAGGATGATTTTTTTTTTCCCAGACTTCCTACATATCAAGAAAGCTTTCATTGAACCATGATCAATAACTGAGAAAGAGCTGTTTTCATTTAATTTGCAATGCCTTCAGAAAAAAAATGTAAGACAGGATCAATGATCATAAAAATACAATTCCTGAAAAACCTTATTATAAAGTATTGCAAATCTTCCAATCACTGGATCATCAGAGACACATTGCACTGACTCATCAGAGACACATTGCACTGACTCTGCAGAAGTTGTCTCTTCTCCCCAAGGCCCTCTGATAAAGTTTCTGATTGAGTTAGAGTTGGAGACAGACACATGACAATTGACTGACTTACCTGAATGTTTACCCAAGAAATCTTGGACAGAAATATCCTAGTGTGACTCCTGGGTGAGTATGCAACTGACTCCCAACCCCACACACGCCCACCCTGGCTATGCCCCCTGACCTTGTACTCTACTCAGCCACTGCCCTCACTGTTCGCTAGCACCATTCACTAAGATATGTAAAGTCTTAACAAGCTACAGCTGCTAGTGCTGTAACATGTGGGGGGAGGGTGGGGACATGGATTCCCTTCTGTGATATCAGAGATTTCCTGCACTGAGTGAGTTTTACAAGATCCTCCATTCAAAATTTGGTCAAAACAATTAGAGGAAGGTAAATGGGTAGCTTTTGTCTGGTCAGCATTAGAAACATGGGTTTCTACACTGACTGGAAGATTTGGTCCTAATGTTTTCTTGTAATTCCCAGTATAATTTGCTGCTGTATTACTTAATTTAGGTAAGTTTTGGTTTTGTGTGTGCTTACCTGTGTATTGAATGTTTGCTGTATTTCACTCACTCTTCACTATTAAAGGTGGGGCTTGGTCAGCAGACTATTCAGCTTGTTTGCACCAACCGGCGGAGACAGTTCCTGCTTGACACAGCGGATGAATCTCTTACAGAGTAAGTACAAATCGCAGTAATCATAAATAGTGCGATCTGGCATCATCTCCACATCATTCCCTTTAATAATACCCTGCCCTTGCAGCTACCTAGGTACTTTTGGATGTGAACACATTAATTAGTACCTCTGAGTCCATCAAGCCTGCTCTGCCATTCAATAAGATCTTAGCTGACCTGATTTTTCCACATTCCCCCTTACCCCAATGACCTTTTCACCCCTTGCTTATCAAGAATTTATCTCTGGCTTAAAAATATTCCACAACTGTGTCTCCTCCACATTTGAGGAAGAAAGTTCTCAATTCACGACCGTCTGTGAGAAAAATATTCTCCTCATCTCTACCTTGAATGGGCTACCCGTTACTTTGAAACATTGACCCTAGTTCTAGAGTCTCCTACAAGAGGAGACATCCTTTCCCCATTCTGTCAGAGCCTCTCAGAATCTTGCATGTTTCAAATCAAGTCACCTCTAACTCTTCCAAACTGGATGTTGAGCCTGTCCTTTGATTCCTGGGCTTATACAGGTATTTATGTGTGTTTGAGTTTGAAATAAATATTGAGGACATCTGCTTTGAATCAAGTTCCAAGTATGTGATTAAATTGTCTTAAACCTCAAATATGTCCTGTAATAATACTGTCGTGAGCCACTCTCCCAGGTGACTTGTTACTAGCTTTTAATGCTTTTCTCAAGAGTCTGGAAATTACAAATTAGGAACATAGGAACAGGAGCAGATAATTTGAGCTCACAAGCCTGCTCGGCCATTTATTGAGATTATGTCTGATCGGTGGCTTAACTCCATATTTCTCTTTGCCCACTATCCTTTCATACTTTTTTAATTAACAAAAATCTATGAACCTCCATTTTAAAACTGAGAGTTAATTCAGCATCATCTGTTTATTTTTGTGTGGAACAAGGTTCCTAACCCCAATCACTTCTTGCATGTAGCAATGATTCCTAATTTGTACTAGGTTCACACTAAAGAGAGCTTTTTTAAATGTCTGGGTGACAATCATGAATCCAAAGTTTTTTCTGAAAATCACTTAGTGCCAATCTACAAAGTTTGCTGATCTTGGTCAGATCTTTAAAGGAGCAAACTTCAATGACCATGTCCAATTTATTAACTTTAGCTGCTGTCTCCAAAACCGACTTGGAAATTATTGTGTTGGACACTGGAAAAAAAAATGCTTAATTGTGCAGCTGTCCACAGCCATAAAGAACAGATTGCTTTCAAAATGTAACCTTGCACATCTGTTGGGTTGCGGTATCAGAGAATGTTTGGCATCTGTAGAACTGTGTGTCAGAATATGCCAAAGGCTTTTCCTCTGAAGGGGAAACATTGGAATAAGGAAACTGCTGATTAATTCCAGTATGTATCAGCAGCGGCAGTAGTTTGTCTGCAGTAATAGCAATATGATTCAAGAACGTGTAGTACTAAAGGTAATACCTCTAACTAGTTATTTTGGCTTATTTAGTCACATTTTATTTGAGCACCAGTTATGGTGTTTTCCTTATTTTTCCTGATGTTTAGGTTTTTCCTTGCTGCCTTGAGATCTGCCATGATTAAGGGCTGCAGAGAGCCTCCATATCCCAGCATCCTTACTGATGCAACCATGCAGAAACTGGCACTGACCAAATTTGTGGCCCAGGAATCAAGATGTGAGGTAATGTGGTAACTGAGATGGATTATGTTCTGCTGGATGGTCTCAGTTTGGGTTTTTTCTTCTGGTAAATTTTGTAAAAGGTGAGGTCAAGCATTAAAATGAAACGCAGGGAGGAGGAAGATCATATACTACAGTGCATTTTGAACTGAAAAGTATCAACAAGTTGACAGGGAATACTCGAGGGGAGAAGCATCAGAAGATTTTTTAGAAAGTGGAATGAAAGTTGTTTTGTGTACATGTCTCCTTTGCACCGGTATTGTTGCAGGTGCTGCTGTGCCTGACTCTTGTGGATATATTTTCAGGTGTCTGAGGTGACTATTCATCTCTACAGTTTGATTCATTGGGAGGATCCCATGGATGTAACAGCAGGGCCCCAGAGGAATCTCTACATGGCACATGGAAATACGGTTACAAAAGAGGGAATTCTGCATTACAAGGCTGGCACCAGTTATTTGGGCTCACCGATCTGGAAGGCCTCCTATGTAGTGCTTAGGTAAGGTTCTCTGCATCAGATTTGAGCACTACATTCAATTTTTTCCTCTTGGAATCTGTAGATCTATTGGATATATTTGGCAAGAATACTGAATATTTATAGACTAGCAGGAAGGATTTCTATTTTTATTTCAAGATTTTCCTTGCTCTGCTCCCCTGTAGACATTAACTGTTGCTGAGTATCTGTAGCTGTGTAGGACTTCTCCCTAGTTTCTGTGCTTATGATGTGATCCTAGAAATACAGTTTAGATTAACAGCTCGACCATCAGTGACATCATAACCGCCCAAACAGAGCCTTGCTTGGGGTCCTAATAAAGCTGGTTGATTCAGTATTTGTTTCCTATGGCAATGGGGCACCGAGTGCCTTGGCTAAGAGTACCAAGCTCAACACAGGCCTAGCACTGAATAGGAGTTCAAGCTTGCTATAGTTTGTCTTGAGTAAGTTGTGGTAGCTCACTGAGCTTCTACAGTTCTTGTAGTGATGTTACTTCCAGAAAAGATTCTGACATAGCGACTATTCAAAAACAGCGATTTATAAGTCTAAGTCAGAATATTCTGTGACTTGGGCTACTTCACATTATTAGCCCAATTACCAGCAAAAGATCCTTGAGCCATTATGAAGTACTGTATAGCTCCATCCTAGTCACATTGCTTACCAGTGTTGTACCTGCACAAGCTGCATCTTGCTTTCTATTATATTTACTTTCATACTGAACTGTTACCATACCATTGAGATGATCTATTGCAAACAGCCACTCAGTTTGATTTTTCTAACATTGTGGGAAAATTTAGATATTGTGACATAAAATCATGCTGTTTACGATAACATGGATTGTTCTGAAATGGAACTTAATCTGTTTGGGGAATAAAAACATTGCAAATGAATCATTTCCATATTACAAGGAGAGATATATTTGCAGTGAAAGTGGTACAGCAAAGATTCAGTAGATTGGTTCCTGGAGTTAAAAGGGTTGTTCCACAATCTGAAGCAAAGTCAACTGAGTCTGGAGTTTAGAACAATAGGAGGTAAACTCATTGAGACATGCAAGTTCCTGAAGTGGTTTCACAGTATAGACATTGTTAGATTGTTTCCCCTGGCTGCGAATCAAGAACATTGGTATGGTCTCATTCATTGATTATTTAGAACTGAGTTGCAGAATTTCTGGTATCATTATGTTGAGAATAGCCAACCAGTGCCATTCCATTGATAAAGTTGTTTTATTTCTGCAGCAATGGAATCCTGTATCAGTACCCCGACAGGATAGATGTAACACCACTAATGTCAGTAAACTTGGCGTAAGTACGTCTGTGCAAAACTCAGGCTTCAGTTTCTGTATACGTTCACCTCTGTGTGCATTTCTCTCTTTCTCTCTTTCTCTTTTTCTCTCTCTTTCTTTCTCTTTCTCTTTTTCTCTTTCTTTCTCTTTCTCTCTTTCTCTTTCTCTCTTTCTCTTTCTCTCTTTCTCTTTCTCTCTTTCTCTTTCTCTCTCTCTCTTTCTCTCTTTCTCTTTCTCTCTTTCTCTTTCTCTCTTTCTCTTTCTCTTTCTCTTTCTCTTTCTCTTTCTCTTTCTCTTTCTCTCTTTCTCTTTCTCTTTCTCTTTCTCTTTCTCTTTCTCTTTCTCTTTCTCTTTCTCTTTCTCTTTCTCTTTCTCTTTCTGTGTGTGTGTGTGTGTCTCTGCCTCCCTGTGTGTCTGTCTCCCTGTCTATTGCCTTGTAGAGGTCATGTGAAGAAATATTTCACACTAAGGATAGAGGAAATCAGCACTGAAAACCTGAGGTTGGGAGTGAATTGAAGATGTTTAAATTGAGATTGATGGATTTTTCTTAGGCAGGCACATTAACAATTATAGAATCAAAGCAGATGGATGGTGTTAAATTACAAATTGAGACATGATCTAATTGAATAGGAAGCCAGACTCAAGGCCCTGAATGGCCACCTCAGTTCCAAATAAACCAATCCAATCCCAGCTTTATTAAGTTATTGGAACTAGGATCTAAGTTGCTGAATACTTAAAGCTCTTGAAACAGAATAACTTTATGAGGACAAAATATAAAATAGAGCTAAGTTAACAAGGAAAAATTATCCGTAATGGGTCAACTAATTTAAGGTGATGAGTAGGAGAGCTTACAAACTAGGGAGATTCTAAGTTCAGTTAGCTCGTCTCAGCATGTTTGCTACTATTTGCATACGATGCCAACTTAGGAGGGACAGCTGATTCTGAGGAAGCAGTTTAGGAACCAGCAGAAGTAGTTGGGCCCAAATGGCAAATAGTTGGAACCAATGACAGAGAAAGTTTTAATATGGGTAGATCAGAAGTAATATAAAGATCAGCAAATATAAGAAATGTAGGTCACACGATGCGCAATTCACAAAAGGCAACAGACTCAATGATCAGTTAAGAGGGTAGACCCCCAGCTAGCAGGTAAAAGAGCTGTTGTGTGTGGACTGACCACATTCAGAGAAGAATGAGTGATGTCACAAGGAAATGAATAAATGATGAATATTTTTCTCCTGTATCTTTTGAAACACAGCATGATTGACATATTTTAGAGTTCCAAGTAATGCAGTGGAGAAAACTTTAGAATTATGGAAGTTTGGAATTCTAATTGGAAAGTATAATAGATCTTTCTTAGAATCCCTACAATGCACGTAGAGGCTATTCAGCCCATCAAGTCTACACCAACCCTCTTTATGGTCACGTGAATTGAGTATGACTATTTCACCACCAATTCAAATTTATGGAACTTGCAGAAACGTACATTTATTTTCTATCTTGATAATTGAAAGGAATCCAAATGCAAATTCCTCTAGCAGAAAGCACTAGAGATGTCTTGAACGTCCAAATCTTCTGTTCATCCCAGTTGTTTGTTTTAGCACAGTCATGCTGCTTTTGAAAGACTCACCCCAACCCCCTTTGCTGTTTATATTGTAGTGGAGAGCAATGTGGAGGTTGTCGAAGGTCCAGCACAACTGAGCGACCGCACACATTCCAGGTGATTCTAACAGAGCGCCTGGCTTTGGAACTCAGTGCTGAGAATGAAGAAGAGATGGCGGACTGGATGCAGCACCTTTGCCAGGCAGTGTCAAAAGGGGTAAGTCAGCTTCAGCTGCACAGATGCCAGTCACAAAATACATTTTCTGCAATTGAATAGGGTAAGATATTCCATCCGTTATTTATTGCACCTACTTTGTTTTGTTCTGTTGAGCTGTCTTTTGTAATTAGGAATATTAAATATCATATTTCTGTCTGCAAATGACCAACCTTCTAATGGTGATTGTGTTTTTGAATTTTTATCTCTCAATTTTTTCATGAGAGCTGAGACATAAAGTATAGACAGTGGGCACCCTCCTGTATCTTTCTCATATGGTTGTTCTTCATTGTGAACCCAGCTAGTGACAGTTACCATATTGGACTGTGCCGTTACAAGCACCCGTAATTCAACATGCAGAAAACCTTGTGTTTCATGAGGAATCACTGGATATTCAGTTGTGGAATCCAGGGATTTGCAAAGACATTGTACTGGCTGAGATCAGCTCACCTCGCCCTGAAAATGGTCAGTTACCCTTTACGGATACTTGTAAACTTTTTGAGACAGTGGAGCAGATGGAGATTCAATTTCTTTTCTAAGTTACTTGTAAAGTATGTGTTGTCTGTCCTATCCTTTACTGTGTAATTGACAGTGGTAGGATTTTGCTTTGCATGACTCCCCCTGGCCAACATACAGGACCGCGCAAGAATTGTTAAAGGGGTTAATGCTCTGATGTTGGATATTATGGAAGGTTAAGCAGTTAATATAAAATTTTGATCCAGTCTATATTAGGACTTGCAAACGAATAAAAGGGCATTCCACACTGCTGCTATTGGATAACCACAGTGCTGACTGTGATTTTAATTATGGCCTCTTGAAACAATGTCTTTCATCCCTCTTGGCCATGTGCAGATGCTTGATATCCTGTAGCTGATAATTCAACATTATCTGCCGTAGTTTTAAAGTGAGTGGAGGTAGATATAGGGGAGACGTCAGAGGTAGGTTCTTTACTCAGAGAGTGGTCGAGGCGTGGAATGCATTGCCGGAGAGGGTAGTGGAGTCGGCCTCATTAGGGGCATTTAAGCAGCTATTAGATAGGCATATGGATGATAGTATAAGGTAGGGGTGGAGGTTAGATAGAATTTAGGATTAGGGTAAAAGTTCAGCGCAACAGAGTGGGCCGAAGGGCCTGTACTGTGCTGTACTGTTCTATGTTCTGTTGTTAGCTTTCCAAAGGCTCAATACTTTAAATACCCACAGATCCATCTGTGCACCAGAGACAATGTGTACACCTGGTGTAAGACAATAGCTTGTGTTAAATAACAGGCACTTTGTGGTGTCATTGATATCATTGCATATGAAGCAATTGTCATGACCGAGTCCATAGTGAATTTGATCCTTGAGTAGAGTGAGCAGACGGATTCTAGACTCTTGCGCCTGAATTTTTGCTGGTTTTTGGTTACACTTCAGTTGGAAACAATGACAAGCTACCTATTGTTATGCGAGCTGTTTAGTGTATTAACTGTTATGTTGTCAGATCGTTCCCCAGGGTATTTCACCCTCTCCATGCATCCCATGCTGCCTTGTTGTGACTGACAGGATGCTGTTTACATGCCATGAGGACTCTCAGACCAGTTTCTTCCGACTGTTGGGTAGCGCTGAGCTAACTAGTGTCAACAGCATCTCCACCAGCTCTGGCAGAGAGTACTGTGTGGTGGTGAGTATCACTTCAACATCTTATACTTACTAACTTCTTGTTAGAAAATGTTTTGCTTTTGTTCCTGCCTCTGTCCCAAAGGCCCTTATTGTTGCTGGGCTACAATTCCATAGATGCCCTGTGCTGTTCCTAGTTTACAGCTGGGAGGGTCACCTACTGCACAATATAGAAGAGTAGTTTTGGCGGGAATGCAAGGAGTAGCAGCTAAACCTCTCTTTACAATTGGTGAAATGTTTATCTAAAATTCTAGAAATTTTAAGCTTACTGTTTCTGCCAGGCAATTCAGTGCTGTGTCTGTACTTTAACAAAGCCATACAGCCTGGGTTGGGTTACTTGGCATACTTTATAGAATAAAGGAACAATCCTGATCATTATAGCTTTGTATATTTTCCTCCTTACTTTTCCAGAAGAAGCACAAATGATTTTGATGCATAATTTTGAGATCTCCCTGAGCCATGAGAAATGACACTTGGCTTTCCTCAGGGCCAGTGGCTGTTTATAACTGATCATTCGGAGTACGGTCCATGTTCACTTGTTTTTCCATCAAGTTGTGAAGTGCCTGGTCTCTCCTGTATTTAAGACAAAAAAGCACCATTTTAAAAAATGGCAGACTGCAATGCAGTGGGAGTTGAGGCCATGGGGTTATGCTCATTAGTGTTTGTTTCTTAATAGTCAACATCGATGAGCCCCTTCCAGTGTGATTGATGGAGCTAAATAATTTACATACTAGTGTGCTGAATTACATTAATGATGTTCAAGAAATTACATAGGAGTATTTTTATTATCTAGCCTGTGGTATCGGAAGGATGAATATACAGGGGAACAATGAACTTCATCCCTAGTCTTCACAAGACAGTTGAAAGCTTGATCAGCCCACTTCCAGAACCAAGTGGTAATCCTTGGTGTTAGCAGCCACACAACTTCATAAATAGTTTTCCTCCACAACAGAAACAGGAGAATAAAAGTAGAACAATGAATCTCTGTCCTGTCATTTAGTTAAATCATTGCTGATCTGTATCTTACACTATCCTATTAAGCAAGAAATTGAACTTAAGCCAGAGAAGAGTTGCAATATAAATTGTGCATAAAATCCGGATCTTGAATAAAATATTATAGTTGTTTGAATGCATGCTGTCCTCATTCTGTCAAAGATTGGAATGGTGTGCGTACTACTGTTGGTACACTAGATAACCATCTGTTGTACTGCTGCCTTGTTGTATTTCATTCTCACTTATTTCAGTATTTCTCAAATTGTGTTCTAGGAGATGTCTGATGATCAGAAATCTCCTCCATGGTTCCTGTATTTCAGTTGCGCTGAAGAGCTGCAACATTTTCTTGCTGCATTGAACAGTGCTTGGAGGAAGATCTACCAGGTATGCTGAAATGTGCAGAATACTTCACCAGCTGTTTATGGTAGCATTCTATCTGCCTTTGCACATTCCCATATCAAAAGGATGATCTCTCCTGTCTTCTTTGGTCATTAAGCTATCTGCCAGATGCTCCCCTGATGACTGTACATTAATATATGTGGAGCTGAGCACTTAAAGCAGGGAAAGTCTCCAATTCAAACCTGTATTGAGTTGTTTTCAGCTGTCCACTATGATATTAGAGTACTTTATTTAGACTCAAATGCACTATGCATTCCCCCTTTGTGCTCGTAATTACTATTCCAGTATCTATGTATAGCCTTTGGGTAAGGCCAGGACTAGACTTGAAACAATGCTTTTATTCATCTTCAATAGTTGCTGCATTCTGACTTCTTCTAACTCTCCTTTTTCAGGTGGATCTACCTCAGAAATCGCTTCAGGATCCCTCCATTCAGAAGAAATGTGATGATGCAGTCCTGCTCATTCGGACCACATGGCAGCGAAGTGATAGTCTTTCCCGCGGACGTGCTGAGCGTGAACCGTGGTGCTGAACACCTTGGAGCACTGACCATATGGTGTGATAATGCTGCAGCTGTGTCCGACTTCCTGCATTTCGAATGTTGTGTGTGACTGCTGGTGTTCCTGGAGGTGTAGAGAGAAACGTGGGATGTAAAGGAAATGGTACAATCCAAATGGTCAAGCTGACAATTCTTTGGAAATGCATCAACAGTGTCAGTTATTAGAATGGATGAAGAAGAGGGAACAGAAGAGATTTTAAATGAACCTCTGCTTATTGAGCTGGGAATAGGTGTGCCTTCACACTTCCAATTGTGAAACATGTGCATACTCAATGAATCTGTTTGGCTTCACCAAGATACATTCAATGGACATCACATCTCTGTAAGCTTGTTGCCTAACTGCATGACTGTCTACTGCAATAAGAGTTATTTTTTATAAAGAGATGCTTGGGTAAAATCAAATTATTTCCTCTTTTTGGAGAAGTTCAAGAACTAACGTGCAAAGACCAAGGGAACCTGAGAAACACTTTTCTCTCCGAATCACTGCCTTTTGTCCCTGGGACACCCACCTGTATTTCTAATATGGAACAGTGACATTTTAAATGTCATTACATCCCAGTCTGTGAATGCCTACCTTGAGCTTCAGTTTCCACAACTGTCTGAAGGTTGTAGGGAATTTAATTCTTCCCCCCAACTGGATATCATCATGTGATATATAATCACAGCATTGGGCCTTTCCAGATTTTAGGATCTAATTTTTTATAGACAAAAGTGCTTTTATTAACAGTTATACTGTTTAGGTCTGACTGCACACCAGTCACTTTTAAATGAAACCTGTTAAGGTTGAATCTGTAAATATGTTTCATTTGTGTCCCCTGACGTCAGTGTCTATAAAATTCAGTTTCTGATCTCCTTCCTGGCAAATGGAGAATCTTGCACAAGATATTTTTTGTTAATGGAGACTGTATGGACTGTGGGTCCTATCTTTACATCTGGTGAAGCAGCCACTGCATCTCTGCTTTAATTTGAGTGTCACAGATGCTGTTTAAATGCAAATGCAATAATAGATTGAACTGGTAATATCATAATGAAAGCCTTTTCATTTTTCAGCCAACTCAATGGTGTTGGATTTTTCCAGTTATATATCAGAAAAATCATATGCAAGAGATGGCAGGAAGATAAGGGTTGTTGATTTGTAACTCAAATTAGATGTTGCATTTTAGTCTCTTCACAAATTCAGAGTTTTCTTCAGCTGTATCGTTTATTTTACTAAATGATTCAGTCACATAAACAGCTGGGAACAGCTCCATTGCTGAGATTGGATGTAGGTAGTAGAATAGTGTGCAAATAACAAATGCATGCACCAATGTTTACAAGAGCTCTTGTAGAACAGTAACATTTATTGTGGTATGTTTGAAAGTCTCTTAGGCGAAGGTACCAACTCATAGGCCAGAAGGCCCAGGCCCATGCTGACCAAGCAAATCTCAGTGCTGTTTTCAGCCAGTTATTACCTGTGTTATATAACCATATAAAGCTCTCTCATTCTTTTGTTGACACTAACTGCTGTGAATATGCTGCAGTATAGTGTTCATTGCTCCATCCTCAACCTAGTGGAATATCTCAATGTTGCATAACTTTTTGTAGTCTACCTCTATTTATACACTAACCCAAGTATTACTTATTGTGAGCTCAGCAGCAAATATGCACCTTATCTTTATTTTCCTCTTGCAGTTTGCAGTTTTTTGAGTTCTGAAGAAATGTAGTAATATGCAGGCTGAGGGAATATTGAGATTTGGGTAAATAATGGTTTTTGCAGTTTACTGGAAGCTCAGCTTTTGTTTCCTAGCACGATAATTGTATATAGTCTTCTGTCCGAAGCTTGCGTCTGCTCTATAGTTCAGGATTATAATTCACTTCCCTATTGACAACAGATGACAAATGCTAAACTCAAGATAGTTCATCAAGTGATCTATTGGTCTCTATGCAGTAATAACCACCCAGAGCTGACACCCATAAAAGGAATCCTTGAAATCTTTATCACACCAAGAATCAGAGCCCTTGAAAATCTGTATTTCAGCAAAGCTCGTGTTCATAGACCTTACAAATTAAAATGACCACCTTCATGATAGAGAATAGGGAGAAAACTCGAAATCACTAATTTCTCCTGCCAAACCTTCCTCTCTCCCAGCATTAAATAATGCATCAGTGGCAGTTAAGGTGTTTGAAAAATACTTAACTCATCATAATTTTTGCAGAACTGCTCAAAGCTGATCATTGTATTGAGAGGTTTATATTCTGATAGCCAATCAGCCTGTAATCTTATTGTTTTCTGCACATTAATAGGCAGAGAGACCTACATGTAGTTGGGGTACTGGGGGAGCATTGATGTAAAGAAAACTTTTATAATAGTAGAAATCTTAAGCAGTGCATAATGCCAGGTTTTTTTTAATAAACAAAATCACAGCTATCTAAAACCTGTTTAAAATGAGTATTCAGGAATGGTACAGTATCCTGGGTGTGGAATAAAGAGTCTTTTTGGTGGACAAATATAGGTTGAATGATCTTCCTCAAACACCTTTTGTTTGTCTGAAGCCATTAGTTCATCACCTTAACTTGTTTGATTACCTGAATTTCTACATACAGCTTAAAGGTTCTCTCAAGGCACTCCTTAGGGCTGGAAAAGCAAAATGAGAAATTGGTGCTATCAGACTACAACACCTAATAAACAGTTCATTGATATCCTGCTCGATGAGGTGCATTGCATATAATCATCCATCTCCTTTGCCATAAGAAATGGTACTGTGCCCTGTCTCAACAGGGTTTTGAACTACATGGGTCTGTCTGTGCGTGGCCTATTCCTTGTGATGCTTCATTTACATGCTTAAAAGCAAAGTAGTCATACTGAAAACAACCAAAAGCCATATAGCTATAGAAAATGAGTGATTAAAACAACAAACCCAGTATAACTAAATAGTAAAGCATTTAAAAACCTCTGATGACTTTTTCAGAGCCAAGCCACAGTTAATATATTTTTGAATGCACTAACATTGGAATTATGGAAGGACTGAGTAGTTAACACCGAAACCAAAAATGTTTCTGAACCCTGCAAGAACAAATGTATAGCCTACCTTGGAGTGGCTGATCTGGTTAATCAATCTGTGCATCACTTAGACCAATGCTTCCCAAATCTCTCCTGTTGTGATCCCATTTTGGTGCTTGAAAATTACTGAGATAGCAGACCTATGGCAGTGGGAAGTAAAGCTATTTACTCCACAAAGTTTCAGTAGAACACACCTATCTTCCTATTATGCTTTTCAGGACAGGATCGAGTAATTAAGCCACTCCCACTATTAAACAAACCTGGGGGGTGCAAAGGGGTCACACAGCTGTTGATACTTGGTCGGAGGTTCACAGCAGCTATTGCCACCTCAGAGTGAGGTTGTGACCCACGGTTCAGGAAGCCTTGACTTAGCAGTTGTGTAAAAATGAAATTCTATTTGCTACCCTGTTTTTAAGGCTCTCAGGATTGCACCATCTCTTTGTAAAACCCTCATGTTTCACTGCTGAAACAGAACAAAGAAACCAAAAGGTGACCCACTGCATTCACAAGGGACTATGTAAATGTTCACTCTATGAACTCCTGTGTTTGTGAAATACACAAACAACTTGGAACTTTTGTACTTTCCCTTTATCAAAGTAAAGGGTCAAATAAAATGGAATCAGTATTAAAACTGGATTTTTAGAAGCACTTCTTTGGGGATTCTGATTATAGACTTGCTATACAATTTTAGCAAACCTCAGCTGCTTGATGCTTTTAGGTTTTGGTTATAACTAGACACCCTCAAACCCTTGACTGATCTGACTCTTGACAACCCAAATGTGATAATGTTTCTTTACATTTTCTTTTATTCTGCCTGTAAGATATTGTTTAAGGTTTAAATGTGAGGATTCCTCTTTCCACCAGTGGCTCAGCAAGTTTAACCAAAGAGCAGCTGAGTCTCTCAGATCAGGAGGATCCCAGGTTCAATGCGTGGTTCATGCTTGGATGACTGATCTCTTGGATAGCAAGTGGGATGCTGGAGTTTGTAGTGATGTTGAATTCATAAGGTTTCTACACTGACTAGCACTAGAAAACAATGTATGTGAATCTTTGAGTCTATAGTTGAGTAATATTATTGATATTCACTGGCATGTCTACCAGCAAGTGATGTTTTTGTTTTTGTTTGTTAATGGGTTGTGAGGGTGGCTGACTAGGCCAACATTTATTGCTCATCCCTACTTGCGTTTTAGAAGGAGATGGTATTCTGCTGCCTTGAACTGCTAATGCATTTGTACCTAAAATACTGCCCGTAGAATTGCACCTGATAACATACCCATTTCCCACACTGAACTGTACTTAACAATTAGTCTACACTGGCACTTGTAAATCTGCCCACAAGACAAATCTTGTGCAACATTCATAGAAAAGTACTCAGCTGAAGCTACGCTGGTATCTGTGGGATTTAGCACAAATTAACACCTTCATTAAGCTTGACTCATTGGTGCCATTCTCACTTGGTTCTTTAAGCTTTACTTCAGAGCTTGAGAACATAACCTACTGTAATTTTCCAGTGCATATCAGAGGTACTGCATTTACAGTTGCTGTCTTTCAGATGGGATGTTGACTCACTACTCTCCATTCCTGTTTAGATGGATAACTTTTCAGGGAAAACCAGGATTGTTTCTGTGTCCTGAACAGCACTTGTTAACCAACGCCATGAAACCAATTCAACTGGTAATTTGTCTATGATATTTTTGGGACCGTGCTGTGTACAGATTGGCTGTAGTTTTTACCTACATAACAACAGTGACTACATTTAATTGTCCCTGAAATTCTTTGGGACATCATAAATCCAATTATGTAAGTTCCTTCCCCTATCATTTAGCAGGGAGGCCAATGATTGAAAGTTAAAAAGGAATAGTATACTACACAAATAGTTGCAATGTGGAGATTCTTCGATAAGAAACGTATACAGTCAGGTAGGGTGCTAATATTCTATTACACTAATTTGGTACACTATGTACTTCATAACGTCTATAGTTATTTTATATAAATTTGAAAAAAAGAGGAAAATTGCTGATGATATTGGATTCAGTGTGTACTGGGATCACTAGGACCATGGTGGTTTGCATACCTAGTAGGGTTGAGGCTAGGTTAGGATATTTGTAAACAAGGTTGATAGTCCAATGATTGGGATCTTCTACTGTGGCGTTGAGTTAGCTGTTTAAGAAGGATTGCAATTTGTTCTCTATCCATACATACACAACCAACCATCATATGTGCAAGGGTGTTTAAAAATTTATGGTGTTTTGTTTTGCAGGACTTTTAATCTTGTAAGATATTTATTTGATGCAGGGTGGCAAAGTTCTCTACTTGAAGCCTTTGTTTTGTGTAGTGTCCATATACAGCCCTGGTTGTAATTTGTAATATGTGAATGATGAATATTCTACTAATGTGGTACATGCTCATTTTGCAACCGAACACACTTGTTGAGTGAAATGTGCAGTCCAATTGTCTTCTGATCTTTTTAATGAGATTTGATTTTATTTGCATTGTAGGTTTTCTCATAACTCCAATCTGGAGACCAAAGTTGACTGGTTCTAGAAATTCAGAAGATTCCACAGTGGATGTTGAACCAATGTGGACTAAGTAGAATTGTTAGATGAGTTGAATGATCATTGCATTAGAATAAGGTTTTCCCCAACTGTGGGAAGATGAAGGTAATCTAAATTATTTTCAAGTGCTTTTTAAAAAGTGGAGTTGGTTTCCTTTTATAGGAATGATGTCATGTCATGTCCAAGCATTTCTGGTTGTGATCTGATTGTGTTATTAATTACTTTAATCCATTAGCAGAATTAAAATATGATTCTAGCTCTCTGCTAAGGTTCATGGCTTTATTTGATAGCATAGATCAGAATATATTTAGTATTTTGCAGAGTTAGATCAAGAAAGACTTCATAATTGTGTAAAAAACACCTTGCAATTACTCTAGGCAAGTTATCCATGTGTCTTGAGATATTGAACCTTGAAGTTAAACCTTTACACTACCTGCTCTCAGATCCTTCAATGTATAAGCTAAAGAAGGTACTCTGTTAAATTGTAATCTGTTTACAGCAAGAAAAAAAGTTACTTTTTATGGAAAAGTTACTCAGTGTTTAAGCAAAGAGGCTATTAAACTCTCTCTTGGATCCAATCCATTTTCTATGTTTACAATTTTTTTTAAATCCCTTAAAACCAGAAGATTGAGGAGCTGTAGCTAATCAATTTGCCCCAAGGTCTGAACCCTCAAACCCAGTATATAGGCAGCAAACTCTGAAAACGTGACATTGTCTTGGTGTGAAAATATACCAGGGAAACAGCAAGTTCAAGATGTTTAAGCTATTTCTTTATTTTCGTCTCCATTGTTCTTTCAAAAGAAAGAGTACTCCTGTAAACACCAGAAAGACATGTTAAGTTTTATTTGGAGTTTTAAAAAATGCCATTAGTAATAGTTCTGGGGTGATAAACTAGTTAATCTCAATGAGGAATTATTAAATCAATTTACCTGACTGGTGCAGATAGACATGAAAATTGGTTCCATCCCATCCCAAAATATCGAATAATGTAAGTGTGTGTTTTGCCAGTGATTATGTGTTGCATTGTCCCCAGCACTGGACAAGCAAAGCCCACTTGGTTCAGTTTGCCCACTGCTGGTCTATAGATTTTTGCACCTTGTTTCCTGCCTTTGCTAACTTACTCAAGTATATTCATACAGATGTGTAATGTGGTGAGGTTAAACAGACTGGAAAAGACAGATCCTATATTATATCACTAATATTGAATGGTACAACTTTTGATGCATAAATAATTCGAAAGATCCTCAAGGAGAAATTTCACTACTTGTATAATATACTATAACCTAATAGTATGTACATTAATGTTGATGCAATCTTTAGGAGCTTCAATACTGATGATGCTTATCCATGCATGTTTTGTGTTTATACAGTGTAAATGCAGTGTTTATTGTATATAATTTATTGTAAATAGAATGGAATTAATAAAGGTATTGTCTCCTTTTTCCCGTCTGAAGGAGTAAAAGCTTATTGTTCTGCTCTTTATGAGAGGTGTAACCATTTCTCTGCATCTTCGTCTACTTGACAATCCTTGGGAACAATTTGAAAAACATTTAGTTCAAGCGCAATTAAATATAGGCAACATATACTGTGAAATAATAAATAGCTAACCCTGGGCGCACTCCTGTGTCATTGCCCCAGTTGGGAATGACAGTAGGTATGATGTTTTTTTTTCCAGGGCTGCGATGCAATGCCCGCTTTCCATTGGTTTTTATCTGGGGGGGTGGTGTATGTAAGAGGCGGCCCGAATGGTGATTGACGTGCCACCAAGTCCCAGCTGCCGGCAATCGCCTCCGGTCCTCGGAGCAGCGTCTCTGCTGCAGTCTCAGCCCCGAAGAGGGACTGGCTCGGCCCGGACCGGGGCGATGCAACAGCGAAGGCAGGCTCTGGACTTTGCGCTAGGCGGCGCGGCGGCGGCCGGGGCTTGTGTGCTGACCAACCCGCTGGAGGTGGTGAAGACTCGGATGCAGCTGCAGGGTGAGCTCCGTGCCCGTGGCTCCTATCCCCGGCTCTACCGCAACGCCTTCCACGCCCTGGTGCTGATCGGCCGGGAGGACGGGCTGCTCGGGCTGCAGAAGGGGCTGGGGGCCGCCATCCTCTACCAGGCGCTGATGAACGGGGTCCGGCTCGGTGCCTACTCCCAGCTGGAGGCGCTGGGCTTTACCCGGGAGCAGGGCGGCAGAGTGAGCGCCAGCTGCAGTATCGCGGCGGGGGCAGCTGCCGGAGCTATGGGCGCTGTGGTGGGCAGCCCTGCCTATCTGGTGAGTCTCTTGGTGTTCGCTATCGCCTGACACTGGGGCTTGTTTATCCCTGTCCAGATGCTGCCAGATCTCTGCTGAGTGTCTTCAGGATGTTCTGTTTTTATTTTACATTTCCACCATCCGCTGTATATTGTTTTGTGCCACCCCGCTAAACCCCCTGTATAACTCAGTCGGTGGTTATTTCTGGATAAACTTGCAGAGTTGTCAACATTTAGCAGCAATGCTCGTCAATAATATCAACACTCGGGGTCATTAGTTTAAGGTGATTAGCAAGTCCTGTTCTGTTTCTCTTAACCAGGTTTGCACCGGGGCGTACCTGACACTGTTTGGGGAAAGAGAGGAACGTAGGGTTCCTTTTTTCTTTAGTCGCAGTGGAATTTCGCATATTTGAAAACCAAATTTGGCGAGAATGATATTAATCCGCATTTGTTAAAGTTTGGAGCCACTGATGTTGCCTTTGTATGGAGATGTCGCCTGGCAACAAAAGAAACTGAACAGAATCAGTATCGGAGGCTGTGGCTTCGCCGAACTTCGTTCGTTTAATGTATTCTTCATTGTAGCTTCTCCCAGTGAGTGATAATTTTATGCAGTGGACTGTACTTAGTTGGTGTGATCTGAGCTGGAACAGTTTGGAGATGCGTCCCTCTACATTATTACACCTTGCACCTTCTGACTCCCACGTGTAAAAGAACCTTTGAAACAGCAGGTAGCATTGTGTGTCCCTTGCCCTTGCTGTGTAATATTAATTACTTTATGAATCTAATGGGGAAGATTAAACTGGAATTAAACTTATTAAACTGGAATGGGTGCAAAAAAGATTTACAAGAATGTTACCCAAAAAGTTTTGAGTTACAAGGAGAGACTGGATAGGCTGGAGCTTTTTCCCCCTGGAGTGTACCAGGCTGAGGTGTGACCTTATTGAGGTTGATAACATCATGAGGGGCATGGATATGGTGAATAGCCAAGGCCTTTTCCCTAGGGTAGGGGAGTCCAAAACTGGAGGGCACAGGTTTAAAGGGAGAGGCAGAAGATCTAAAAGGGACCTAAGGGGCAGTTTTATCACACATAGTGGTGCATACATGGAAGGAGCCGTCAGAGGAAGTGGTAGAGGCGAGTACAATTGCAACACTTAAAAGACATTTGGACAGGTTTGTGGATAGGAAAGGTTTAGAGGGACACAGGCCAAATGCAGACAAATTGGACTAATCCAGTTTAGGAATCCTGATTGTTATCGACGAGTGGAGCCGAAACGTCAGTTTCTGTACTGTATGTCTCTGTGACTCTGATTCATACACAAGTGGAAATTGAAACAATTTCACAGGTAAGTCTCTGAAAGGAAAGTTTTAAAGAAAAAAAACCCTACCACCTTGGTATAAAAACTTAGCAAAGCACTCCCCGCCCCAGCGCCTCCAATAAATTGATCCAATCACTGAGGGGCATATTCTGTCATGTCGTGTCAAGTAACAGCTGAACAGTGACCAGCATCATTTGAAGGATAACAAGGTGCAGAGCTGGATGAACACAGCAGGCCAAACAGCATCAGAGGAGCAGGAAGGCTGACGTTTCGGGCTTAGACCCTTCTTCAGAAACATCTCTTCTTCAGTCTAGGCACTTTACAGCTGGACTTAATATTGAGTTCAACATCTTCAAATTGTGAAACAGTTCCCATTTCTTCCCTTTCTTTTAGCTTTTTACATTCTGTTATCATGTCCTGTCTCTCCCCTTCCCCCATCCCAGTGGGACTGTCTATCCTTTCTAGTCTGCCAGTTAGACACACCATTGTTCTGCCATTCTCACATTCTGATCACTTAATCTGAACTATCAATGTCTTTTCTCCACCAGCACTCTACACACACTCCTCCTACACACACAACCCCCCCCCCCCCCCCCCCCACCCCCACCAAATTTATAGCATAAATGCTGGCCTCCTCACTTCACTTCAGATCTGATGAAGAGTCATCTAGACTCCACGTTAGCTTGTTCTCTCTCCACAGATGCTGTGATCTCCAGCTTTGTTGTTTTCAGTACATCATCGATGCTGCTTTCCTCACTTGTTCGGAATTGGAAAAATTCATCAATTTAACTTCAAATTTCCACCCTGCTCTCACCTTCACCTGGTTCATCTCTGACTCCTTCCTTCCCTTCCTTGACATCTCTGTTTCCATTTCTGGGGATGGGCTGACCACCAATATTCCACTACAAACCAACTGACTCCCTTGACTATGCATCCTCACACCCTGTTAAGACTCTCTATTCTATTCTTCCAGTTCCTCCATTTCTGTCACATCTATTTTGATGATGCTAACTTCAACAAGGGGCCTCTGAAATGTCCACCTTCTTCCTCAACTGAGAATTCCCCAGGCACCATGGTTTACAGGGCCCTCAGCCATATCCAACCCATCTCCCACACTTCAGTCCTCTCTCTCTTCCCTCAACAACGATAGAATCCTCCTTGTCCTCACCTACCATCCCACCAGCATCTACATCCAAAGGATTATTAGCTGGCTTTTCCACCGGCAGCAGCAGGATGCCACCACCAGACACACATTCCCCTTCCCTCCCTTGTCAGCCTTCCATAGGGACTGTTCCCTCTGGGACACCCTGGTCTATTCCTCCTTCATCACCCTCTCCATCCCCACCCCCAACCCCATAGCACATTCCCCTGTAATCGCAAAAGGTATAACGCCTGTTTGTTTACTTTCTCCCTCCTCACTCTCCAAGTCCCTAAACACATCTTCCAGCCAAAGTAGCGCTTTACCTGCACATCACACAATCTAATCTATTGTATTCGGCGCTCACAATGTGGTCTTCTCTACGTTGGTGAAATGAAGCGTGGACTGGGTGATGCTTTGCAGAACACCTGCATTCTGTCAGCAAAAATGACCCTTAGCTTGCAGTTACACCACCATGTTCCCTGGCCAACATCTCTGACTCGAGCTTGCTGCAGTGCTCCAGCAAAGCGCAGCACAAGCTGTAAGAACAGCACTTCGTTTTCCACTTAGGGGGTCCTTCTGGACTCAGTATTGAGTTCAACAATTTTAGGGCTTGAGCACCTTCTCCCATGTGTTTGCCCAACCTCCCCACAGCCGGCCTTGTCATCACATGGGTCACCTACACCAACAACCCATTATCAGCCCCCATTAGCAGCTATTCATTCCCCAGGCTGACCTTTACCCAGTTGTTTGCCTGCCCAACTGTTTTTCGTGCTCTCTCTGGGCTCCATCTCCACCTATTGTTTAATCTGCTCTCTACAATCAATTATGAAGAAGGGTCACCGGATCCAAAACGCTAATTCTGCTCTCTCTCCAAAGATGCTGCCAGACCTGCAGAGTTTTCTGGGCAATTTCTGATTTTGTTTCTAATTTCCAGCATCCACAGCTCTTTGGTTTTTTTTGTTTTATGTGGAAATGCTACCTTTCTGCCAGTTCCCCTCAAAGCCACAAACCGGCCTGAATTAGAAATATATTGCCATTCCTTAAGTGCCACTGGATCAAAATCCTTCCTTAATGGTTAATAAAAATACATCTCGATGACCCTCTTGATTTCTGTTTCCCATTTTACCCTCTTTCTTAGAGGCCTTTTCCACTTTGTTGTTTGCAACCTGCAACTCCCCTCAAGTTGTTCTGTATCTGAGAGCTGCAGGAATGTGCTGGAGAGATGTGAAACAAAAGCTAGTGGTAAGATGACACACAAGTTGGGCATTAAAAGCCTGAAGTTTGTTGGGTACCTGGAAGACAAAAGTCTGAGATGATGTATTCTTAATTGCATCCTTCACTCGTATTGGTTTTGCATTCTTGCTTCGGTAGCAGATTGTGTTTGCTAAACAGGGCAGTTGTAATAGCTGTTCACTGTGATGATCCTAGTAACAGTAAGGAAGACCAGGGGTCTGTTAGCAATCATATTTGTGACCAGTGCAAGTTACTATGAGAAGCGACAGGAGAAGCTATCAGTGTGAAGTGTGCGAGAATCCAGAAGCATGGGTCAATATAAGGAATTCCAGTAGCAGCTGCTGGCCTGAAGAACTGCACCAGGGAGCAGTTTGTGTTTTAGTGGTAGGTTTAGTTAATGGATCTTAGGGATAGATCTTCTGTGGTCATCTTGTGTTGGTACATCCATTCGTGGGGATCTCTATGGAAACACTTACTACATCAATCGAATACCATCAGCAGTTGTCTATCTTCCTCATGTATATTCATATGAAATAGGAACAGGTTTAGGGCAATTAACCCCGTGATACTGCTGTGCCATTTGATAAGATCATGGCTGATCTGATTGTAGCCTCCCCTCCATTTTCCTGCCATGCCCTCAGATTCCTGACAAACATGGGAGGTAATTACCTCTACCTTGAAAATATTCGAGGACCCTCCCTCCATAGCTTTCTGGGGAAGAGATTTCCACAAGTGCTCAAACCTCAAAAGGGAAAAAAAAATCTCCTGATGTATGTTTTAAAAAGACTTTTTATGTGTTTATGTCAGTGTCCACTAGTTCTAATCTCTCCCGCAATGGGAAAACATCATCTCAGCATTCAGTCTATTAAGGCCACTCGAGGTGTTACAAAATAAAAGTGTTGGAGAAACTTAGCAGGTCTGGCAGCATCTGAGGAGAGACAAAGTTAACGTTACCAGTCTAATAGGATTCTTCTGAAGAAGAAGAGTCATACTAGACCCAAAATATTACCTCTGTTTCTCTCTCCACAGATGCTGAGTTTCTCCAGCACATATTTCTATTTCACATCTCCAGGAGTATTTTGCTTTAATTTCAGGATTTTATACAGTTCATTAGAAGCACCTCTCAATCTTCTCATCTCCAAAGGATACGAGCCCAAACTGTTGAACCCTTCTTCGTAAGGAGGTCTCTCCATCCCAGGAATCACTGCAGATTACCTTGCCTGAACTTCTCATGCAGTTATGTCCTTTATTAAATAAGGAAACCAAAACAGAATTCTCCAGATTCAGTCTCACTAATGCCTTGTACAATTGTAGACAATCTCCCCTAGTTTT